AAAATAATAAACTGAATATCTTAGTAATAATAATACTAATAGCTACGAAAATTTTATTTTATTTTCTGCCACCTAATATCGCCATATGAAGTTTACAATTTGGGACAATTAACCTAAATCGGCTTGACGAATAATTTTCAAATCCGAGGAGTATTTAGATGCTTATGGGATGCATGCTATAAACCCTTAATATTGAAGAAACTTAGTTAGTATATAAATTTATTAGGAATAAACAGTTTTTATACTTTGTAAAGATTAGTTGCTTAGCTTTTGCACTATATTGTACACATGTAGATCTGTATCTCAAGAAAATTTTGTTGTTGTGACTTATTAACAAGAATTTATATTTTGTGCTGCTAAATATTTTTGTTCTTGTATGCATAACAATATACTACGTACAAAAAAATTGATAATTAATTGGCAAAAAATTATATTTGAAAGAATTTAAATAGAATAATAAAAAAAATTTAAGAGCTTCCAAGTATGCTGCCTATAAATATATACACAAGAAAACTTGGTGTAAATTCTATTTTAATTGAAAAAGAAGAATTATTTCTAAAACACCTGCAGGAATTTTAAGAATTTCGTTGCCTTTTCGATTATGTTTAAATTATTTAAAAATGGGCTTCGAAGGACCAGCTGCATTATGAGGGTTGCTGGGGATGCCTCCTAGGCTAGTCGTCGGTAGTGTTCTCGAAGGATGAAACGACCAACAATTTGATATAATTCTTTATTAATAATATATTCTCTCATTCCTATTTCAGAGTACTATTGGCCAAAGAAGCCTATCCGGAACGATGGGAAAGAGAAGTGGCTCCCATGGAATATCATGATAAGGAACGTCGTGAAAATTTTGATATTTGGCATGCAGATCTAGTCAATATAGCACAGTATCTAAGAGGACCCTGTAAATTGGGTGAACGTTTTTCCGAAGATCTCATTATGCAAGTTGTGGGTATATTGGAAGTAAATGCTTTTGAAGCGAAATCTTTGCAAGGATTTCCTCTCAGGGCATTATATCCCATAACTGGAATTCTATCACACAACTGTGTGCCCAATACAATGCGCAGTATATATCCCAGTGAAGATTATAGGTAGGATGTTAAATTTAAAGAAAAATTAAAGAAAATAAAACTAATTATGTTGTTGTTTACAAATAGAATACGTTTGCGTGCTATGGTCGATTTGGAACCGGGCCAGCAACTGCAACATTCTTACAGTTATACTTTGAATGGTACCAGCCAGAGACAGGAACATTTGAAAGCGGGTAAATTCTTTACTTGCGACTGCAAACGCTGTAAAGATCCCACTGAATTGGGCACTAATTTCAGCACTTTTAAATGTAGCAAATGTGAGGATGGTTGGCTTTTGTGGTCGGATCCTTTGGGTAAGCTGAAACATTATTATTTCATACATACAAATAAATCTAAATTAACTCAAAAAACTTTATATTATTTAGATCCCAACACCGAATGGAAATGTACATTGTGTGAATTTAAAACCTCTAGTGATGCTATACGTAGAGCTCTGGCCGTCATTCAAGCTGAAGTCGCCGAATTACAGGCCACCGAAATGTCTGCTACACGTTTACAGGAAACCGAAAAGTTATTGAAAAAATATCGTGTAGTTTTACATCCTTTACATTTTATTATGATTTCATTGAAACAAAATCTTATTGAAATGTATGGTCGTGTTAAGGAATATGAAATGGTCGAATTACCCGATATTTTACTCGAACGTAAAGAGGAATTATGTCGTCAAGTTTTACGTGTAATGAATGTTTTTGAACCAGGCCTGAGTCGTATGCGTGCCATGATTTTATATGAACTGCACGTGCCGGTTGTTTTATTGGCTAAAAGTGGTTTTATTGCAGAGGTTTTAACCGGTCGGAAGCTTAAGGAAAAACTTTCGGAGGCCATTGATATTTTAAAGGATTGTGTGGAAATTCTACAGCATGAAGATCCACAGTCACAAGAAGGTGTTTTGGGTCTGATAGCCAAACAGGCTATGGAACAGTTAACATTAAGTGTTGAAGGTTTGGGGGATTGTTAAAGTTTAAAATATTTAGTTTTATATTATAAAAGAGATGATACATAAGAATGAAATAAAGAAAAATTGGAAAAATAAATATGTATGTATGTATCTAGATATTTTTAAAATTGTGGAAAAATCACCTTTTTTCAAAATTTTGATCGATTCCGATTTTGTTCAACTCAGTTCTTGTTTAGTTCTAGTTCAGTTCTAGTTCAGTTCTAGTTCAGTTATAGTTCAGTTCTAGTTCAGTTCTAGTTCAGTTCTAGTTCAGTTCTAGTTCAGTTCTAGTTCAGTTCTAGTCCAGTTCTAGTCCAGTTCTAGTTCAGTTCTAGTTCAGTTCTAGTTCAGTTCTAGTTCAGTTCTAGTTCAGTTCTAGTTCAGTTCTAGTTCAGTTCTAGTTCAGTTCTAGTTCAGTTCTAGTTCAGTTCTAGTTCAGTTCTAGTTCAGTTCTAGTTCAGTTCTAGTTCAGTTCTAGTTCAGTTCTAGTTCAGTTCTAGTTCAGTTCTAGTTCAGTTCTAGTTCAGTTGTAGTTCAGTTTAGTTAGTTAGTCTGTTCTAGTTCTGTTCTAGTTCTGTTCTAGTTCTGTTCTAGTTCTGTTCTAGTTCTGTTCTAGTTCTGTTCTAGTTCTGTTCTAGTTCTGTTCTAGTTCTGTTCTAGTTCTGTTCTAGTTCTGTTCTAGTTCTGTTCTAGTTCTGTTCTAGTTCTGTTCTAGTTCTGTTCTAGTTCTGTTCTAGTTCTGTTCTAGTTCTGTTCTAGTTCTGTTCTAGTTCTGTTCTAGTTCTGTTCTAGTTCTGTTCTAGTTCTGTTCTAGTTCTGTTCTAGTTCTGTTCTAGTTCTGTTCTAGTTCTGTTCTAGTTCTGTTCTAGTTCTGTTCTAGTTCAGTTCTAGTTCTATTCTAGATCTGTTCTAGTTCTGTTCTAGTTCTGTTCTAGTTCTGTTCTAGTTCTGTTCTAGTTCTGTTCTAGTTCTGTTCTAGTTCTGTTCTAGTTCTGTTCTAGTTCTGTTTTAGTTCTGTTCTAGTTCTGTTCAAGTTCTGTTCAAGTTCTGTTCAAGTTCTGTTCTAGTTCTGTTCTAGTTCTGTTCTAGTTCTGTTCTAGTTCTGTTCTAGTTTTGTTCTAGTTCTGTCCTAGTTCTGTTCTAGTCTAGTTCTAGTTCAGACATAATAATATCACTTATTTTCGATTAAAAATAAAAAATGCTTTCTTTCGATGCTTACTTGTATTTCAAATATTCGGTTTAAATATATAATCCATTGATAGTTCAGTACAAATAACTCCCTTCTTTTTGGGTCTTTTTATTAAGGGCTCATTATCCTCATCATCTTCATTTGAATCGGAACTGTTGTTATACTTTTTATTCTTTGTCTTTTCCTCTTCGCATACTTCATTTTCAGTTTCGTAATCGTTATCATCTTCTTCATTATCATCATCAGCATCGTCATCTTCATCATCTGTATCTGTTTGCGCTTTACGTTTCTTTTTCTTGGGCGTCTTTCTTTTGGTGGATTTTTTACCTTTACTATTATTTGCCACTTTGGAAGTGCGATATTTATTCCAAAATTCAGCAGGTTGAGCATAGTCTACTAGGTTTGTAAAACGTTTAGCTAAGGCCTTACAAAAATCATCGAATGATTTGTCTATGCTATTATCATAGCTATGGATATTTTTATAAATGGTGGGTATAAATATTAAAGATTTTTCTAGAAGTGTAAGCTGCAAGGAAAGTAATGAAAAGGAAAATATTGAAATACGTTGTTTTAAAAGCATTTTTTAACCTTTTTTTTATAAAAATTAACTTTTTTGCTTTAAAATTACTAAAGTTTTTCAGTTTGGAAAATAATAATAACGGTTTTATCTTTACTTACCGCTTCAGGCATTGTTACTTCTCGTTTTCTCTTGCCTCTACCAACTCCCGTGCTCGAGGCTGTTTTATTTGCTGCACCTTTATTGTTTCCTTCAGGGTTGGCTTCAGTTAGTTCATTGATTTCAGCTAAAGCATCATCTTCGGGTTTTTCTGTTTCACTATTATCCGTAGTCAATTTTTGCTCCTTAGTTAGTTGGCATACTTTTTTGAGTATGTATAAAACATCTTTCACAAGGGCTATACCCTCGGGAGTTTTTATTAAGGGATCGTTTTTAGATTTTTCTAAAGAAAAGTTGGGAGGAAAAAAATTAAAAAAACTTATGGGATTTGTAACGATAAAAATAAATCTAAAACGAACATTTTACGGCTATTTATCATCCTTAAAAGTATAATTTTTACTTACCCGCTATAAGTTTCAGTTGTCCAAAATACAATATCATATTTATATCATCCATATCAGTCATTAGATGGCTATACAATTGTTGACGGTATTTACGTTGATTTTCGCCTTTCAAAGGTGATTTTATAAAAGCCTCCGAGAAGCTATCCAAGCCATCAAAATTCTTAAAAAAAAAATAAATAAATCACATTAACAACACCATTTTTCCAAACTCACTAAAAACACCTACCTTGTATTCATTGAAAACGAAAGGACACTCAATAAGACATTTTTGAAATAATGTGGAATTTTTTCTTTGCCAAAAATTCGGCAAAAAAGTCGCCTGCTCTAGCAGCTACATCTTCACTTTCATCCAGCAAAGTAGCCAATAAGGCTAGCAGTAAGGAACCTCTTAGTTTTAACTGATCCTGCAGTACAAGTTTTTCAAAACATTTAAAAGTTTCCATGCGATTTACTTCATACGGGGATTTTAGTTTGCGCAATACTCTACCCACTATACGTTCAACAATTTGAGTATGTTTTTTACACAAATCCGTTAAGGCCACTATAATAGTATTCACTATGGGTGGCCGGTCGTAGGTATTTAAAATATTAGCATATAAAGCACAAGTAGTGGAGGCCACACAACCATCTCTTAACGCTAAACGACCAGCAATTAAAATCATTGAATTGAAAAGTCTTTCATTTTCCAAATGCATTTCTGTTTCTTTAATCTTGCTGCATTCGTTCATGTATTTATGTATAAACGTGATGATAGTTTGATGGGGTCTAAAGCGAGTTTGTAAATTAACCTCTGAGTAGGCATATAGATGAGACATGAAGGTATTACGATTTTCGGGAAAGTTTTGAATACCAGTTAATATTTCATACTCTAAATGTTGATGTAAATCAGTTAACCAGACGATTTCTGGGCCTTGACTATGTTGCGTTTGGCTGGTTTTAGTTTTTCCAGTATTTTGTGACCGATTATCGATGAGTAGTAGAAAATCGAATGCTTTGCCTATAATTATGGGCAACATTTTGCCCTCTTTAAGTTGCGTAAGTAAATGGGTAAAGGCATGATTGAGGGCAGTATGAGAAAAATCTTTAATACAATTGGCGAGAACTTCCAGAGCTATCAGCATGTTTTGTTCTTTATTCCACTAATGTTAAAAAAAACAGAATTTTATTTTGTGGGAAATCATAACAGAAGTATTACGTACCGATTCCAATGTTATGAAATGATGGATTAAAGCATCTGGTTCTTTAATCTTGACTTTGTCACAGATAAAATTCAAAACAATCCAAGCTTCGGTGGAATTGGAGGTCAACAAATGAGATTCAATTATACTAACGATTTGGGAACTGAAAACACAAGTAAGTAAGTAAGTAAGTAAGTAAGTGCTGAATTCCAATCTTCTCTCAGAATTTCTAAATGACATCAAGTTTTCGAAATAATGTGTCCTTCATTTTGAAAAACGAAAAACTTTAGGTGATGGAAACCTACCTTATTATACGCTGTTGCAAAGCCAAATGGAAACAATTTTGCAAATAAAAACGTGATTGAGTGGACAGTAAAGTTCGTATTATAACCCAAGGCATAAAATGTTCAGCTTTATTGGTTTCTTCAATACTTTTCATGTTCATTAAGACCCTGTTACGAAAGCACTATTAAAACATTTATTTATTAATAAATATAACATAATCTACAGTATTTAAAAAAAATCAAAATACCTCCATAGCCACTTCAATATTTTTGGTATCTCCATCATGTAACATGGGTGTAATAACTTTACACCAAATCCATATAACTGGATAACAATTGGGATAGGATTCCAAAATAGCATCAACCGACAATAAAGTTTGTTTACGCACTAAGGCCGTAGGTTCCTCTACCAAACGTGATGTTTCCTTTTTTAAAACAAATAAATATTAAAAAAAAAATTCCAACAATTGCCTTTCCTTACCCACCTGTACAAAATTTGTATTAAATATTATTAAAGGATTTAATTTAACCAACTGTTCCATAAACATAATACCAGCTCTTCTTATATACGACAAAGGACTCTGATATATTTGTGTAAAAATATTAGATGGTAAATTAAGAAAAGCTAATTCTATTATACCATGACCCTCAAAAGTGTATTCAGCTTTTTGACTATTCGGCTTCTCATAACGTATTTCATTTTTACGTACTCTCGGTTCATCCGGTAGTTGGACATTTGTATCACAAAATTGTGCATACTTTAAGCATTCGTTTAAAATTTTACGCGTATTAGGTGAACCCTTTGTCAAAGCCATATGTAAAGCTTGCACCGATTTCAATTTAATATTATTATTTTGATCTCGTAAACTATCTATTAGTTCTTTAATTAAATGTATTTCACGTGGTATAGCTGAAACTTCATGACGAAACATTTGCCAATCCACCTGGGACTCTAATTGTAAAATTTTCGACATTAAATCTATCGCTCGAGATCTTATCATGACCTCATCGGCATATACAGCCTCGCATAGAAACTCCACACATGATTCGTTACATTTTGTAAATAAAGCAGCATCATATTTAGCCGCATATTCTAAAGCCTTTTGTGTTTGTTCAGTTTTCCATGTTCTAATAGGATTTGTTACAATACATTCAATATAGAACTTTAAAACTTTTACCAATAAACGTGGATATTTAGATATCGATTTGATAAACCAATCGGAGATGTGTTCACAATCGGAATTTATACTTGTTTGATTGTTTGATTTCGGTTTAGCTGGATATGTATGAAGGAAGACGGTCATATTCATAAGTTTCATGAGAGTCTGTTCAGGTTCCCCATTGTGGGCATTAATCATTTCTTCGTATATTTCAAAACATTTAAATGTAAGTTAGCAGCATCTATATATAAAATTTGAAAAAATTAAAAATATTTCAATAGTTTTGTTTTAGTCCAGTTTAGTTCAGCTCTAGTTCAGTTCTAGTTCATTTCTAGTTCATTTCTAGTTCATTTCTAGTTCAGTTCTAGTTCAGTTCTAGTTCAGTTCTAGTTCAGTTCTAGTTCAGTTCTAGTTCAGTTCTAGTTCAGTTCTAGTTCAGTTCTAGTTCAGTTCTAGTTCAGTTCTAGTTCAGTTCTAGTCTAGTTCAGTTCTAGTTCAGTTCTAGTTCAGTTCTAGTTCAGTTCTATTTCAGTTCTAGTTCAGTTCTAGTTCAGTTCTAGTTCAGTTCTAGTTCTAGTTCAGTTCTAGTTCAGTTCTAGTTCAGTTCTAGTTCAGTTCTAGTTCAGTTCTAGTTCAGTTCTAGTTCAGTTCTAGTTCAGTTCTAGTTCAGTTCTAGTTCAGTTCTAGTTCAGTTCTAGTTCAGTTCTAGTTCAGTTCTAGTTCTAGTTCAGTTCTAGTTCTAGTTCAGTTCTAGTTCAGTTCTAGTTCAGTTCTAGTTCAGTTCTAGTTCAGTTCTAGTTCAGTTCTAGTTCAGTTCTAGTTCAGTTCTAGTTCAGTTCTAGTTCTAGTTCAGTCTAGTTCAGTTCTAGTTCAGTTCTAGTTCAGTTCTAGTTCAGTTCTAGTTCAGTTCTAGTTCAGTTCTAGTTCAGTTCTAGTTCAGTTCTAGTTCAGTTCTAGTTCAGTTCTAGTTCAGTTCTAGTTCAGTTCTAGTTCAGTTCTAGTTCAGTTCTAGTTCAGTTCTAGTTCAGTTCTAGTTCAGTTCTAGTTCAGTTCCAGTTCAGTTCTAGTTCAGTTCTAGTTCAGTTCTAGTTCAGTTCTAGTTCAGTTCTAGTTCAGTTCTAGTTCAGTTCTAGTTCAGTTCTACTTCAGTTCTAGTTCAGTTCTAGTTCAGTTCTAGTTCAGTTCTAGTTCAGTTCTAGTTCAGTTCTAGTGCAGTTCTAGTTCAGTTCTAGTTCAGTTCTAGTTCAGTTCTAGTTCAGTTCTAGTTCAGTTCTAGTTCAGTTCTAGTTCAGTTCTAGTTCAGTTCTAGTTCAGTTCTAGTTCAGTTCTAGTTCAGTTCTAGTTCAGTTCTAGTTCAGTTCTAGTTCAGTTCTAGTTCAGTTCTAGTGCAGTTCTAGTTCAGTTCTAGTTCAGTTCTAGTTCAGTTCTAGTTCAGTTCTAGTTCAGTTCTAGTTCAGTTCTAGTTCAGTTCTAGTTCAGTTCTAGTTAAGTTCTAGTTCAGTTCTAGTTCAGTTCTAGTTCAGTTCTAGTTCAGTTCTAGTTCAGTTCTAGTTCAGTCTAGTTCGTTCTAGTTCAGTTCTAGTTCAGTTCTAGTTCAGTTCTAGTTCAGTTCTAGTTCCAGTTCTAGTTCAGTTCTGTTCAGTTCTAGTTCAGTTCTAGTTCAGTTCTAGTTCAGTTCTAGTTTCAGTTCTAGTTCAGTTTCTAGTTCAGTTCTAGTTCAGTTCTAGTTCAGTTCTAGTTCAGTTCTAGTTCAGTTCTAGTTCAGTTCTAGTTCAGTTCTAGTTCTAGTTCTAGTTCAGTTCTAGTTCAGTTCTAGTTCAGTTCTAGTTCTAGTTCAGTTCTAGTTCAGTTCTAGTTCAGTTCTAGTTCAGTTCTAGTTCAGTTTCTAGTTCAGTTCTAGTTCAGTTCTAGTTCAGTTCTAGTTCAGTTCTAGTTCAGTTCTAGTTCAGTTCTAGTTCAGTTCTAGTTCAGTTCTAGTTCAGTTCAGTAGTTCTAGTTCAAGTTTCAGTTCTAGTTCAGTTCTAGTTCAGTTCAGTTCAGTTCTAGTTCAGGTTCTAGTTCAGTTCTAGTTCAGTTTCTAGTTCAGTTCTAGTTCAGTTCTAGTTCAGTTCTAGTTCAGTTCTAGTTCAGTTTCTAGTTCAGTTTCTAGTTTCAGTTCTAGTTTCAGTTCTAGTTCATGTTCTAGTTCAGTTCTAGTTCAGTTCTAGTTCAGTTCTAGTGCGAGTTCAGTTCTAGTTCTAGTTCAGTTCTAGTTCAGTTTCTAGTTCAGTTCCTAGTTCAGTTCTAGTTCAGTTCTAGTTCAGTTCTAGTTCAGTTCTAGTTCAGTTCTAGTTCATTCTAGTTCAGTTCTAGTTCAGTTCTAGTTCAGTTTCTAGTTCAGTTCTAGTTCAAGTTCTAGTTCAGTTCTAGTTCAGTTTCTAGTTCAGTTCTAGTTCAGTTCTAGTTCAGTTCTAGTTCAGTTCTAGTTCAGTTCTAGTTCGTTCGAGTTCAGTTCTAGTTCAGTTCTAGTTCAGTTCTAGTTCAGTTCTAGTTCAGTTCTAGTTCAGTTCTAGTTCTAGTTCAGTTCTAGTCTAGTTCAGTTCTAGTTCAGTTCTAGTTCAGTTCTAGTTCAGTTCTATTTCAGTTCTAGTTCAGTTCTAGTTCAGTTCTAGTTCAGTTCTAGTTCAGTTCTAGTTCAGTTCTAGTTCAGTTCTAGTTCAGTTCTAGTTCAGTTCTAGTTCAGTTCTAGTTCAGTTCTAGTTCAGTTCTAGTTCAGTTCTAGTTCAGTTCTAGTTCAGTTCTAGTTCAGTTCTAGTTCAGTTCTAGTTCAGTTCTAGTTCAGTTCTAGGTCAGTTCTAGTTCAGTTCTAGTTCAGTCTAGTTTAGTTCATTTTAGTTCAGTTCTAGTTCAGATTTAGTTCAGTTCTAGTTCAGTTAATCTAATTAATCGATTTATTTAATAAATTTTAGTTATCCTACAACTAACGTTACGTTACGTATTTACTAAAATTGCTTTAAATATAATTTAAAATTAACCACTTTTTTAAAACATGTTTTTTTTATCTGGCAGTTCCATTCAGTGAATATAAACAGCTGATCAATTAAACTATTTCTGTTGTCAATTTTGTTGCACAAAAACACATACAATCATTTCACAACGCGAACGAAGTCTATAATTTTCGATTTTTATATAAAAAAGTTATATTGAAATAAATAAAAAGATAAAAAAACGAAAAATGCGGTTATTATTAACTAACTTTGGTAAAAACAAGCAATTAAAGCCACTGCTTCAGTTACTGGCAACCAGGGCATTCAGTGGCTCACCAGTGGTAACAGCACCTACAACATCCGCCGAACACTATGATATAATTATAGGTGGTGGAGGCTTGGTAGGCACAACATTGGCTGCCGCTTTAGCAACAAATAAAACAATGGCCGATAAAAAAGTATTGTTATTGGAAGGAGCACCACCATTTAAAGGATTCAGCACAAGCCAGCCATATGGAAACCGTGTGTCCGCTATAAATAAAAACAGCATTGCTCTATTCGAATCTATTGGAGCTTGGGAACGTATGCTGAATGCTAGAGTTAAGCCGGTCAAACAAATGCAAGTATGGGAATCGAATAGTGAGGCATTAATACAATTTCAACATGACCATTTTGCCCAAGATGTGGCTTGCATAGTCGAAAATGATTTAATGCTGGATGCGGTATATAGTCAATTAAAAGATGCTGCGCCTAATGTATTAGTGCGAAATTTGTCTCGCATTTCGGAGGTAAAATTGCCCTCCGACACGGGCAAAGGAGTTTCTGAGGTTACATTACAAAGTGGTGAAAAATTTACCTGTGAATTAATAATTGGAGCCGATGGTGCTAATTCTTTGGTACGCAAGCAAATGGGTGTTGATGTTTTCAGTTTAAACTATGAGCGCATGGGATTAGTGGCAACGTTGGAGTTAAGTGAAGCTGCAGACAATTCAGTAGCCTGGCAACGTTTTATACCCACAGGACCTGTGGCAATGTTACCTTTAACCGACAAACTTAGCTCTTTGGTATGGAGCACCACAATTCCTCATGCCAAGGAGTTGCTTAACATGTCACCTCAGGAATTTATTGATGCTTTAAATGAGGCTTTCTGTAAGGAATTTCCAAAAAGTGATTTAACGGACAAGGCACTAAGTACTTTAAATTCCATAATGGGTCGTAGCTCTGCAACAATAAGACAATATCCTCCCCGTGTAAGTGGTGTTTTCGAGAAATCGCGAGCCACCTTCCCATTGGGTTTCTTACATGCCTCTTCGTACGTTTGTACTGGTGCTGCTCTTATAGGAGATGCTGCCCATCGCATACATCCATTGGCCGGCCAAGGTGTTAATTTAGGTTTCAGTGATGTAGGCTATTTAATTGAAACTTTAGCTGAGGCTGCCTACGCCGGTGCCAAGTTGGGCGATAAACAATATTTAATGAAATACGAACAGAAATGTTTAAAGAAAAACGTACCCATACTAGTGGGTGTTCATGGATTACATACCCTCTATTCAACTACCCTAACTCCGGTAGTACTTTTACGTAGTTTGGGTTTACAATTAACTCATAATATACCACAAATTAAAGATATTTTCATGAAGAGAGCAATGGGCTAAGAGGAGTACGTTAAAAGTTTATTATTCACAAAGTTCGTAAAACATTTATAAAATTATTTTGTAATTTAATATTTTTGTTATTAAAAAAAGAATAAAATTCTTCTAAAAATCTAGTAGTATTGTATTAATCTGGTGATGTTCAATAATAACGATTTATTTAATGAACGAGAATTAACAATTGTTGTCAGTTCTAATTCAATTACAGTTCAGTTATAGTACAATTCTAATTAAGTTTTAGTTCAGTTCTAGTTAAGCTTTAGTTCAGTTTTAGACCAGTTGTAGTTTAGTTCTAATTCAGTTTTAGATCAGTTCCAGTTTTGTCCTAGTCCAGTTTTAGATCAGTCAAGTTTAGTTCTATTTTAGTTTTAGATCGGTTATAGTTCAGATCAAGATCATTAGTTCTAGTTCAATTGTAATTCTGTTCTAGTCCAGTATTAGTTCAAATCTACTTCAGTTCCTTATAACTTCTAGTATAGATCTTATTAAATTCTAATTCAGTTCTACTTTAATTTTGCATCATTATTAGTTCAGTTCTATTTAAATTTTTGATCAGCTCCGCTTCAGTATCAAACCATAAATTGTTCATACTTACACGTATTAGCATACCCCCTTTCATGATTTAAATATTGTATATCAATCAATTTCTTCAATATTACATCCCTTGCTTCCTTGTGTTCGCTGAAGTGGACATAACGTAGCACCAATTTCAAATCATCACACAATGTCGTAAATTGTAACCATATTTGTATGGGTTCATTGCGTGACATACGCGATAAAACATTTGGATTCTGTATACGTTCTATTAAAGTAAACACCTGTACACAATGTTTAATGATTTCCTCTTCGAATATGTGAAAGCCCTTGGCACCCGGTATGGTAAGTGATAGAAAATAAGCATTAACTGCTAATATTGAAAGTTTTATGTAAACCTGTGACGTGCCATCGATTTGTATTAATGCTGCCAAGGTATAGATGAAAGCCAAATAACCATCCCTGGGAGCTACCTTAACAACTTGATCCCAACAGTCGAAAGTGTTGTCGTAACTGGTTTCGCTTTCGCTACGTAGACTACGTAATGTGGCACATAATTCCATCAATGTGGAGACAATTTGATCATCTAATTCTGCACGTTGCACCAAAGGAATGCCAATAAATTTCAGCATGGCTTCGTTAAGTTGTCCCTCTGTGTTGTTGTGCGGTGTTACTTTATTTTGTTGTACATTTTCTAGTATTTCTTCGATTTCCTCCCACACTAAATTCACTACAAAGTATTCATTTAACTTTTTAAATATTTTTATTAATTCACTCATGTTTTTGTTTTTCTTTCGACTTCTTTTAAAGAACGCGCTGCAATTCAACCGGTCCAACAAATGCAGGGAAATAAATGTAAACAAAATTATTGCATTTTTTGCTTTATCCAAGGCGAATTCACATAAGGTGATAGCCAAGATCAAGGTATATTAATTATAAGGTAGTTTTACAAATTAGAGTTTGACAGTATGCCTCCCAAAGTATGTATGTATATTAATATATCTTGCCTACATATGTATATCCATAAGTGCGTGCATGCTGTCAAACTCCATATAAAAAATGTATTAGAAAACAAAATCAGCTGTTAACACTTAACACTACCTTATAAGTTATAACCATGGCGAAACTAATAAGGTGAAGTCATTTCAACAGCTGATTGTTTTTTTGTTCATGGAAATTTAGCCCGACGCTGTCAAACTCCATATAAAAAAAATCTCTCTCAAAACCGACGCTGTCAAACTCCATATATAAAAAATTTAATGAATTCGCAAAATGAAATGACTTCACCTTATAATCTATTCGCCTTGGTTATAACTAATATACCAAGGCGAATAGATTATAAGGTGAAGTCATTTTATGTTGCGGCGAATTCATTAAATATTTTTATATAGAGTTTGACAGCATCGGGCTAAATTTTAATGAACAAAAAACAATCAGCTGTTGAAATGACTTCCCCTTATTAATTTCGCCATGTAATATACCTTGCTGGTGGCTAAGGAGGTCGTAATTCTTCAACAACAAAATTTTCTATTTATTTTGTTTTTGCATTGGTTTACACCAAGGCGAGTTCACATAAGGTAATACCACCTTCAATTATAATTATTATAACATCTTTTTTGGCTATACATGTATCTATTTTCGTATACTTAGTATGTATACATATATAGCCAAAAGTACAACAATAATCATAATACATACAAAAATTCAAATTAATGAAAATTTGTTGTAAAATTTGTATATTTGAACAGAAATAATTATCAGCTGATTGAATAACACCACCTTATGTGAATTCGCCTTGGCTTTATCTTAAGGATAAATTTTAATAAGATTTTAGACAATCGCATGTTCTTTTTGATTAATAAAATTGTTGATGGTTTATATAAGAAACTGTGTGTAATAAACCTAAAATAAATGATTAATATATTTATGAATTGGGTAAAGTTTTCTTTAATTCAAATGTGTCATCTCTAATAATTTGACATTACTACTTAACAACAGATGACACTAGCGGTTAGGAACAATGATGCCAATTTAGAAATAAAGTTTACATTTTTGAAAACACATTATTTTTATTAAGCATAGATTTTTATATGAAAATTTTTAAATCTTTAAATAAGTGTCTCATTAAACAATTTTCCAATTTAATATACATACAAGAAATAGCAAAGACAATGTTAATTTAAATCGCTTAAATATGGGGTTAAGATGAGTGATTTCTCACGCTTTATTAATTTCAAAAATGTCAAATTTCAATTAAAAATCTCTGAATTACCAGCACTGGTCACAGAGAGTGTGAGAATTTATTTAGCTGACGTGACAGAGAGAGTAAACCGAAATAAGTGAAAATTTTTTTAAAAGGAAAATTTGGGAAAATATCAATTAAAATAAAATATGTACTAAATAAAACACGAAAATAAACAATAATTGTTACAGGCTTCAAACTAAAATATAAACGATTGAATGAAGAAGAAAACAATACGGCGTTTTCAAAGATAAAATAAAAAGTTATTATAACACGAGAATAAGACAAACAACAGGCAAGGCAAACAGCACAAACTGCAGCAGCAACCAGAAGAAGAGCAGTACTTTGGCTAAAGAAAAAGTGGAGCAAATTATATTACAAATTTCGAAACAATAAAAAGAAGAAGAAAACAGCACCTATAAACGCAGCTGGAGCACAATATTAAACAAAAATGCTAATGAAATTTTAAAAATATTTAAAACAAAAAATTCAAAACAAACCCAAAATTTTGTACAGTGAACTTGAAGTGACACCAGGCGGCGACTACATCAATGAAAATAAAGTGCTGGAGATTGTGTGGCTAGAACAACGTTATTTGAATATAGGGGAAGCTATTGGTTAAAGGTGAAATTGAACAATAATACAACAACTAAAGGCTCACATTTGTATTACGTTTGTTTTGTGTAAAATAAACAAAAAAGAAGAAAAAATATTTACTTGCATATACACACGTACAACAATTGCTCTTTTCAACAATAATTATTTTTTGAATAGAAACACAAAAAATAAAGAAGATCTGTTCAATATTTTAAAATTCAAGGCCAAAGATTTATAAACAAATTGCAAAAGCAAAACTAAACAAATAAATTCCAAGGTATCAGTAATAAGTGGAGAACTGTACAGGTAAGTAATACAAACTTGACTAACAGCAGCGTATATTTTTTTTCTAACGCAACTTATTTCTTTAAATTGTAGTATAATAAAATGTCATCTAACGAATCCACAGCAGAACTGGAATCTGTTCGGGAATCTCTACTAAGTAAACGTACATTAAGCGATAAAACTACAACAACAGCACTGGGCAATGGTTCATTAGTCTCGGAGACCAGTCCAGTTAATGGTAAATTACATAGCAGCAAATATGCTAGCAACGACAACAACATCACAACTACAGCTGCTGCTACATCTACCACCGGCACATTTATGAAACTTAAAACCTATCTTTTAGCTTTACGACCCTGGTCCCTGTCCGCCAGTTTAGTGCCCACACTATTGGGTTCTGCCTTGGCATTTCGCTCACAATGGTCGTCGGAGTTTTCATTTATAACATTTTTTCTAACCGCTTTTACAGCCGTTACGGTTCATTGTGCCGGTAATGTGGTGAATACATATTTTGATTTTATCAAAGGAATTGATAAACAAAAGGCTGATGATCGCACTCTAGTCGATCATATTTTATCAAAAGATGAGGTGAGTCAAGAAATTGAAAAAAATTATATTCTGTTTATACTATAATGTGTATACAAAGTATTTTTTGATTTATTTCGGAAAAAATAGTATGTGTGTGCTAAATTTTTTTTTTGGAAAATAATTCGCTTTTAAATTATATAGTCATTAATGGATGAAATTTTATATATAAGAGTGTGTTGTATTGGGAAGAAAATTATATATATTTATTGATTTATTGTTAATTTACTTAGAAATAGTATACAATTTTGGTTTTGTATACTATTAGAACTAAAAACGGAACTAAATCTAAAATAGTATTGAACTAGAAATTGAACAGAAATTATTTTCAAAATTTGTTATGTTCAAAATTAAAAATTTAAGAAAAAAATTATATTTTGAACAGCTATTATTCCTAAATATGTATGACTAAACTATTTCATTTCCCCTTTTGCAGGTTGTTTCTCTTGGTGCAATACTTTATATGGCCGGTTGTGTGGGTTTCATCTTTTTAGCCATCTTAAGTCCAGCTAAAATGGAACATTTAGCACTCATCTATTTTGGTGGCTTATCGTCAAGTTTCCTGTATACCGGTGGCATTGGTTTCAAATACATTGCATTAGGTGATTTAGTTATCTTAATACTATTCGGTCCCATATCTGTACTATTCGCATTCATGTCACAAACTGGTCATGTTGATTGGACAACCATCTATTATGCCATACCTTTGGCCCTTAACACAGAAGCTATTTTACACAGTAACAATACAAGAGATGCTGATAATGATCGCAAAGCTGGCATTGTGACTTTGGCCATTTTAATTGGTCGCACAGCATCGCATGTCTTATATGCACTACTCCTCTTTACACCTTACAGTGTTTTTGTGGTTTATGCTTTAAAATATTCATTATGGTTTCTATTGCCCTTGATTACGGTGCCACAAGCTTTTCGCATTGAGAAACAATTTCGTAATGAACAGACCATGAGTAAAGTGCCAAGACAGACGGCAAAATTGAATTTCTTTTTTGGTATTTTATATGTAGTAGCTTGTTGTTGTGCGTCCCAATTACCTACATTTACATATTCAAGGCACTGAAGTGTAAAAACTGAATAATAAAAAAAAAAAACAAATTCCCTTTTTTAAGCATTACAAACGATTTTCTAATCAGTTAATTTTTAAACATAATTCTTTTTAAAAATCAGTTTAACTTTTTTTTTTATTTTTTTAACGCGAATAAAAACTGTATAATTAAACGAAACAAAACTTTAAGTAAAACTATACGATAATATATAAACTAAACAAACAAAATAAGAATAATGTTACAAACAGAAAAAAAAAATCAATTTATACATACATTGATGAAATTAGTGAAAAAATTTAGGGAATTTTTTTTTTAATAAAACAAAATAAGAAAAAAAAAATAATACAAAAAAATACATATTGTATTGCATTAATGTAAGTTTTCCATTTAATCATCTGCTCATTTATAATTTATTTATAAGTTTCATTATTATTATTTTTATTTTATTAAAGATGTGACTTGTTGATACAAAAAAAAAAATAATAAAACCTTATTTTTTCTATTATTGAGAAGCTATTTTTGGTTAAAAATAGACGATTTCTTTTCAACTTCTACAATTTTCATTATTATTTATTACACATTTGGTTGCTAAACTAACAAATTCATCATTATTGTGCATAGAGTTAAGGCTTTATTCATGCTAATACTCTTACTTCATATTTATATTTCATTTCATTCTTATTTTATGTCTGCGAACAAATGTGTTGATGTTGTTTTTCATTATATACGAAATTAAGTACATATAATCTCATTTTTATTATAAAATAAAGTGAGTTGATGATAATGTATAGAATATTTAACATTATTTTGTTTTCTTAAAACTTAAGTAAGAACAAGTAAGAATTGTACAATTATAGCAAATTTTAAATGTTTATTTTTAGTTTGATTCATAGTTTTGAAAAAGTCAAATTATTGGCTTTATAATTAAGTTTTAACCTCTATTACATCCCGTTCCCTCTTTAAGATATCTTAACCTTAAGTTTAAAAGAACTGTAAAAACTTAAACGGTTTACTTTCACAGCTACGATCTAAAACAAGTAAGAAAGTATAGTCGGACGTGGCCGACCATATGATACCCTACACCAGTTATGAATATTAAATGTGATTTATTTTTCATAATAAAGCATTTATCTTCAATATTCCCTTGTTCCGATACATTTAGGCAATTTATGGATGAAAAACTAATTTTCTGAAAGAGGCTTTATATGGGGGCTAGGGGCAAATATGGACCAAGCCCGATAAAATTTTGTGAATATATTTATATTTACATAATATTTTATTGTGCTGAATTTCATCGCGATATTTGTTTTTATAAGTTAATTTGGGACATTCAAGTAATTTTCTGAAGGGGACTTTGTATGGGAACTAGGGTCAAATGGGGCCCGACCTTTATGAAATTTGGCAGGGTCATCAAGACTTCTATAAAACTTAGTTGTGCCGTATTTTATCAATATATCTGTATATTTAACATAATTATGAGCTCAGAAGCCCTTTTCGGGGGGTTCTGTTCTATGGGGGCCAGGTGAAATAATGGACCGATTTTAACCATTTTCAATAGGCTTCGTCCTTGGGTCAAATAAAACGTGCGTGCCAAATTTCATCCAATTATCTTGAAAATTGCGACCTGTACCTTGCGCACAAGGTTTACATGGACAGCCAGCCTGCCAGACGGACGGACGGACGGACATAGCTTAATCGACTCAGAACGATTCTAAGCCGATTGGTATACTTTAAGGTGGGTCTAGGACGAATATTTTTGTATGTTACAAACATCAGCACATATCCAATATACCCTCCCCACTAAAGTGGTGTAGGGTATAAATACTCATATTCGTTAAACATTGAAAAGAAGTAGAATAGTTTCTGCTTTTTCCTATGATTCCGTTTTTCGTTTGTTGCTTTGCTGAATGTAGAAACGTGATCGAAATGCAGAATAGAAGTGAGATTGAAGGATTTGTAAAAAACACACATAAGAAGTACCGGCACATTCTTAAGCATAAAGGTGAGACATTCAAACGGACGTATTAATATTGGCACAGGGATTCTAAAGCTACCAAAACCAAACGCTTTAATGGCAGATATGGATATTGATCATTTTTGATCGCACGAATCGCATAAAAAATGGAATAATAATATACTATCTTATACTATAACCAAAAAGTTTAGGCCAAACAGGATGGAAAAAGAATGACATAACTTCTAAAATTATCTCAGTCGCCACTAACCATCATTACAAGAGGCTGTGGTTGCTACGACAATTGGATCTTCGCTCCAGAACGACCTGAGTTATACTCAGCCAAAGATTGTCAACCCAGCGACAGCTGTATGAACCGAAAGTTTTTTCCCCAGGAAAGAACTATCGGCCACAGTACGAACTGTTACAACAAGGGGCTGCCTGTCATTGTACAGCAACACTTTTTAGAGCTTTTACCAAAAACCCCAAAAAAAGGCCAAGCAACTGAAATTAACTCATTCGAGACTAACCATCATTACTTGAGACTGCCTGTCATTGCTACAGCAACACTTAAACACCTGGACGAAGAAAGTAAATTTAACCCTTGACTGCCAGCGTGTTCAATGGAGTTCAAATTCCGAACGTTCACCACTCAAAATACTTGGGGGTTTGACAGCTCCTTCTCAGCTCGTGCCGCTACAATCACGCACAAATTGTAAAGTAGAAACAAGCCGACAGCACTTGGGGTATGGATAAAGAAACGTTGTCAGTATGCAGCTCCAGTGTGGTCGCCTTCGCTCAGTTATATCCAGTGGAGAAACATTCAATGCTGCCTGCAAATTAACTGGGAACATCATATACACTAGGAAATGAAGGTTCTCCGAATTAAGGAACTCAATGACATGTTGACTATACAGTTCTTCCTGGGATGTTAACGAAAGAGTCATCCCAACTTTTTAATCTCACAGTTAAATGCTTTCCCGAGGCATATTAGGAAGGATCTTCGTATGTATGATGAGAACTGAAGGTCAAGGAACATAATCTCATGTTGACTAAATAGTTCCTCCTGGGGTGTTACCGCAGGAGTCATTTCACGAGGAGAACATACACAGTTATGTGCAGGATTCACTAGAGCTGTCCTCGTATACGGCAGCTTTGAAAAATATTCATAGAGATACCATCAATTTCTTGGTCGAATGTCGCACGTGGAGGCCGCCCATAGCAGGAACAGAAGAAAACTTGCCGCGGAAACCATGAACGGAATAGAGCAACATGCTAAATACCTACTGATCAAGATCACCATGATATCCACCACATATTCAACGGCTTAGCCAAACCTATTTCACTTTGGCCAATGGATATATGGACACATTCAGTTGAAATAGCTCAATTTTTACGTCTGGACATTGAAGTAGAACCCGCCAACTAGATTATTATATAGTTTTAGTTGTTACAACAATAACAGCAGGACACTGCAAGTATAGCACCCATACTAGGGGACTTGAATTACCACACAATGACTACTGTTTAAATTGACATAATGAGAAAGAAGAAAATAATTAATTGATTAACTCCTATATCACTCGAGCTTCATTAGAGAACATTCGCAATAAGTTCATAGGTCAACGATTTTATGGTGACTTGTTCGAACTATCTAGCAACAACGGGAACCTCAGAATATTGAGTTTAATCAAAGAATATGATAAATTTTCAATAGCGGGTCGTAACACATAAAGAATACGTGTTAATCATAACAACCCGCACGTCGAGATGCCCATTCTTGGTTTAACATAGATATTGATATTGCAAAAGTGACTTCATTCTCTATAAGGATTTAGAATCTATAAGGATGCAAAATTAAATTGTATAAATTATAAACGGAATAAAAAATTTATATACATATAAACGTTCTGGCGAATTCAGTTTTACACGAACTCTCTCTCGCTCTCCCAAAAGTCCTTTAATTTCATAAAAAACCTAAAAAATATTTATAAAAAACTCAAAAACTAAGTTCACAACGATCTTTGTTATATTATTTCTAATGTTTTTTGTTTTTTTTTTAATTTAATAAATTTTTCTTTAAAGCACTTGTTAAGTTAAACACTAATGATTAATAATTACTTTTTTTTAACAAAATAAAAAAATTTAAAACTTGATGAAAATTCAAATTTATTTAAACAATAAAAGTAGTGTTTGCAAATCAAAAATTAATAAATATTAATGAAACAAAAATTAAAATGAACTAAAAAAAACTGATAAATGCCATCATTTTATGGACCAAAAATAGACAAAATTATAAATATTGATATGAAATTAAAGGTAAAAAAGGAACATAATTTAATAAACTAATAAAACAAAGGACTACATTTTCTTTTATAACAAAACAAATAAATAAAATAGAAAGTTTGTTGTACAATTTAGATGAAAATGAATAAAGAAATGCATAAATATTGAAATAAATGTGCTTTAATTGTTAAAAATATATAAAACTATAATAAAGTTATAAAAAAATTGATATTAAATTTCCTTCTTTAAAATAGAAAAGTAATATATATATTAAAAATCCCCTACCTTACAGTAATAAATAATTATACAGGCCAACAAATGTTTAACAGAAAGAACAAATTATATATTTTTAAAGAAATTGCGATGAAACCACATTAATCCATATAATTTCTTTATCACATCAGATTTTCTAGATATAGTGTCGAAAGTAATGAAAATGGGGCAAAGACACCTTCGTTTATGAAAGTCCAATCTGTTAACGTTTAACGTCTATAAGTTCCAATTTGTCATAAGTTTTCCCATAAATTTCTTTTTAAATTATAAAAAAAATCTCCTTTATTTGTTGAGATATCGGCGTTTAAGCGTTTTGCCACAAAATTATAGTTGTTTAAAATTCTAGGTTAAGATAACTTGAAGTAAAAAGTAGATATAGATTTTAAAGTCGACCGATTGAACTTTCAGATGATATAAAAATGATATCGCGCTATTATTATATCTGAAAAATGAACAAAAAGTAAGTTTTTTCATGATGTAGTACATGATATCTCGAAAACCAGGGTGTAGAGAATACAAGATGACATCATTGACCCATTTTTATACATAGACTTGTAGACAGGTTTAAACCGTACGTACGGTTGTCAAACTACATACTAAAAAAATTTGACAATCGTGCGTTTGATCTCAAGTGCTGGTATGCTATGTCGAAAGCATAACGTGAGGGAGAGAAATTCAACGCAGTTCAATAATCTATAAATGTATAATATGATCTCTGGCTTTCGAATTTTTTTTTTTAAATTTGTTGGCCTGTGTTATTTATCTAAAAGAAAAATTATGCATTTGAGAGTGAGACTTAAAATAAAAAAATTCTACATAACAATTTTTTAATTATAAACCTAAAATAATAATATTATTTAAAATATAAAGAGATACAGCGATGTTAAAAAAATATATACAATACATATAGTAGAGATGTTGTTAACGAATAATCATTATTTAACAAAAAAAACTTATTTAAAGAATTGTTAAAAAAAAACAATGGAATTATTTCAAATTTGAATATAAAATCCTCATGAATAATTAATTTTTTATTAACACTTTATTTTAATGGATTTGAATATTATTAAAACGAAACTGATAATCTGCAGAAAGCTCTTAAAGCTGAATGAAAGTTGAGTTCGAATTATACGTTTAAAAAAGTTTTTAAATAATTTTCTAATCTTATAAAACAATTTTCAAAACTCATTATTCATAGAGGAACTGAGAGTTTAAATATCTATATAGAAAATAACTATTTAAATAGTTTATGTATCCGAGCAAATTTTTAACCAGCATTTATATAGAAACAAGTAATAGTTCTATATTCGGCAATGCCGAATCTTATATATCCTTCACCCTAGTGTTTTAAAAAAAGTCAATATGTATATTATTATAAAAAAATATTAAAGAAATATCAGTTGAAAAACTAGAAAATCCCCTTTTATAGATTTTCATACCAACTGGACGCTTCTTGTTTAATTCTATAAAGTGTGGACCTATAAATTATAATTCCATTAAGATGTCTGTTTACATATTTCTAGGTTCAATAATTCAGAAAATCAAAAAAGTACTATTTAATTTAAAAATAAAGTACCAGAAACTCACATTTTATAAATATTTTTATTCAATGTTTCAAGGTTTAATATAAAAAAAGTTTAAAAAATACCAGTTAAGGAACAAAAAAGTACCAAAAAATTCGCTCTTATCCCATATGTCTGATTATATGTTTCTAGGTTCAATATTGCAGAAAAAAAAACTACCAGTTGAAGAACGAAAAAGAGTATCAAAAATATTTCCCTACAGATTTTCTTCACTCAGGACACTGCATGTTTAATTTTATGTTTCCAGGTCCAATATGTATTATAGAAAATTCAAAAAGTACCCTTTGAAAATCGTAAAAGTACCAAAAGGTTCCCTCTTGTATGTTTTCATTTACTCCGGGCTCTATAGGCTTAATTTTATGTTTCTAAGTTCAATATTATCTCAGATTTTTGTTCATATCTCCATTACTAATGGACCGATTTTGCTAATTTTAAATAGCGTTCTTCTTAAAAGCCTGTTTGATAGATTTATTGAAGTTTTGGATCCCGAAGATAACTGACCTTTTAAGAAAATTGTTTTCAACAAATATACAGGTGGTCATAGTTTTACAGGGTCGCAAAAATTAAATTGTAGATATTGCAAACGGAATGAATATATGAATACATATACCCTTTCTGACGAAGGTGAAGGGTATAAAAATCGAATAACACTACTTTTGATTTTTAATATCAAATATTATTTATTTTATAAGTATATTTTTAACCCTTAACCGATGTTTCCTTGTTTTCTTTTCAACTCTATATATAACATATCAAATGATATATCTAATTAATACCTTAATGATCATAAACAAATAGCATGACTTTTTCTACGTTACCTTATTAATGAAATGACAGTTTTCCATTAATCGATTCTTAAATACATACTTAGTACTAATCTAACTATCGATACATATACTATTACATATTAATTAAACTATTCAATAATTTTATAAAATTTATTTAAACTTTTTAATTAAAACAAAAACTGATAATGCTTTAAGTGTTCTGATTAAAGACAAAACTAATAAAGATAAAAAACAATTAATTATAACCAATTTTTTGTAAACAATAACTTTGTGTTTTATTTAGATCAAAATAAATCGATTTAAGTAAATGGTCCCGGGTTCGTTCTCTGAAATGCGCGCTAAACCAGTTTGTACTTCACTAAATTGCTATACTTCTCAACAAAATTTAATTTTAGCGGACAACAAATTTTTAAACCAGAGACCAAAGTATACTTCATTACTAAGAGTGTAATCTATAGATTACACAGAGACAATCAGAAAGCTAGTCCAAAGAATTCAATACCTGGCAATTAACCTTTTCACTTAAGAGTATACAAAAGAAATACTCTCGATTACAAAAGAGAGTTAGCAGAAATGCTAGAAAATCTCAGGAACATCAAAGTAATCAAAGTCTACTATTTCATAATTACTCTGTCCAGCAATATTCACACAATCCACTTTCAAATCATATGAAGATAACCCAAACAACCACGATTCTTATTGCTGAAAATTACATTTTATTATTCCATTATCGATTTATAATACAAATTTCAAATTAATCTATAAAACCCTGACGGGGCACTAGATAGGCCTCATATGGCCTAACAGAAGCGGTGGCACCATCTAATGGCTCTTCATCGGGCAATGGACCAGGTAAAGCTTCAACACGGAAATTCTGCAAGACAGTTGTAATGAACATAAACAAATTCTGACGTCCCAAAATGTCACCCATACAACGATGACGACCAAAACCGAAAGGATTATAAGCTTCGGGTACTTTAAGGCAGCCGTCGATTAAATAACGTTCTGGTTTAAATTTATGAGGATTCGGAAAGTCCACTGGATTCATGAGCATACCGCGAAAACAAGCAATAACCATGGTGTCTTTGGGAATTTCATAGCCACTTAAGCGGGTATTACGCAAGGCACGATGTGGTATACCGAAGGTGTTGCCCATGAACATGCGCACCGCTTCCAAGACAATAGCTTCACAATATGGCAGCTTAGTGCGATCTTTCCATTCAGGCAAACGTTCGAGGCCCACAACTTCTTTGATTTCTTCAAAGGCACGTTTTTGTATTTCCGGATTACGCACCATATGCAGAAAGGCAAAGCCCAGACTTTTATTAGTTGTCTCAGAGCCAGCTAAAAACATGTCCAGACACACTGCCAGCAGTTGTTCTTCGGTAAAGGAGGCTTTACGTTCAGGATTTTCCAATTCCCTTAAGTAACTATCCATTAAATCACGGGGAATGTTATAATGCTTAAAAGTCTGACGATGATTATCCACTTCTTTGCGTAGAAATGCATATATACGTTCATGATTTTCCACAAAGGCATTGTAGCCCGAATAATTGGGAGCCACATAGCGCATAAAGGGAAAATGGCTAAACATGGCTCCCACCATATCGACGTGTTGAAATAATTCGAAAAACATTTGTAGCAAATCATTGATTTCCTCACTCTTACGATCATAACGCTTGCTCGACATCATAGACCACAAAGTGTTCAAGACATAAACCGTAAAAAGATTAACCATAGAAACTTTGACCCTCTTGCCACCTTGCTCACGCACCAAATCATTCAAATCTTCTAGTAAATGAGCTGCCTCCTGCTGTATGCCATTAACCATACCACTGCGGGCAAAACCGAAATCTTTTAAGTGACGTAAAATAAAACGTCTCTGTTCCACCCACAATTCTTCATCGGTAACAAGTATGCCTTTCTTGGAATTGAAGGTACGCATGCGATAGAAAATACCATCAGGTTTACCATCCAAGTCCTCATTAGTCATCATCTCTTGTATGGTATCCGAATAATAGGCTATAACCAATTTGTCTTTGCCTATTTTCAAGCCATAAAGTCCATAAGGATTGACATAGTGACGCGTTAGTTCATCAATCACTTTACAAAACATTCCACATTTGGCGCGCAATTGGTAAATCTGCAGGGCACAACCCACAATGGGATACCATTTTGGTCCGGGAGGAAACTTGGCCGGCTTGCGTATGTCCCAAAAAAGGAATAATAATATTAAAACCGTGCCAAATATTACGGTATAAAACATTGTACGTTATTAGTTTTAAAATAACGTTTACGTTTTGAATATGAGTTTTGTTGCAACAGTTTAAGTTACAATTTCCGCTTAAAACAATGACGTTAAAAACAAACAGCCTTTTAAGATTTCATAACAACATTATTACATAATTAACTTTGTTTACTATTTATCCACTGGTCCACTTGGAGTCAACACAATTGTTCGTTTTTGTTTTTACTATTTTCTTTAATGAACCATGTTAGCGTGTATTCGTTATATAGTTTTTCTTTTTTGCTTTTCTTTTGGCTATTTTCCCGTTTAAAAGTTATGGCTGGCTTAAAGTTTATCAATCAACTGAAGAGTTTTCTTTGGTTGCATCACAATTTATACTTGGTCAAGTGAACCAGTAAGTAAGTCTGCAGACATCTGATATTATTGCTGGTGGTAATTATCGTAGTGAGAGTGTTTTTCTTATTTTCATTTAACTTTTTGCAATTGCAGAAATTCACAAACTGTTTAGCATATTCCGAAAGCGTTAGATGCTGTTTGATCAGTTTTTTTAATCTGTGGCATCATTTTGATTTGAGGCTCATTGTCGGTTTAATAATTAATCTTAAGCGACAAAATTATACTTAACTTTTGAAATACATTATAATTTTTGAGATCTGTAAAACCGACCCTTCAAGATTTATTTATTAAGAATTTTAAGATGATTTATCTGGCTAGTAGCTCTTAGCTATAGAAGAACCTGATGGGAGAGAAATCACAAAGTATTATTTCAGATGTTTTATCCTTTAAAACCCTAGAATATACATATGTATACCCGTTGCACATTTGGGACACAAATATATAATCCAATCTCTTAATGTTTCTATTTTGATCTGTTTGTCATTGGTCGCTGTCTGAAGAAATCCTTTATATTAATATTCGATCCAGTCTTTCTGTTCTTCTGTTTCGATAGAAGAAAGGGCTTTGAGTACTTTTAGCTTCTTATTCATTGGTATATGTCTAGAGAAGTCCTAGTTGTGACTTGAATCGTCTTCAATCACCAATTTCTGATCTAAAGTTACTCTGGTACACAAATATATAATCTCTTCATTTTTCTATTTTGATCAGTTTGTAAATCATTGGTCTTTGTCTAGAGAAACCCCTAATTATATTCGATCCAGTCTTTCAATTCTTCTGTTTCGATAGTTTGTGAACCATTACTTCATTAATTTGAGAGCTATTAGTTTCATTAGTATCCGCCTAGAGAAGTCCTAGTTGTGACTTGAACCGTCCTTAATAATAAATCTAACGGCTAAATCTGAAAACGGTCGCAAAATGACTTACTCTAATAGTAACGGCGAATACCGCGACGTGAATCATTTGAATTGTTGGGTCCTACATTATTTTATTGATTACTGTTCAAACTAGTTGAGCAGATCAAAATTTAATTGAAATCCGCCTCCTAACGACATGAAGTAAAATTAAAACCTGCTGAAGTCTTTAGAATATTGAGAAAATTTGATCTAGAGACACATAAACTGATAATAAATTGTATATGATTTGACCAGAATGAAATGACTTACTCTAATAATAACGGCGAATACCGCGACGTCAAGCATTTGAATTGTTGGGTCCAACATTATTTTATTGATGTACGATCAAGTACTGTTCAAACTAGTTGAGCAGATCAAAATTTAATTGAAATACGACTCCTAACGAGATTAAGTAAAACTCTTTAGAATATTGAGAAAATTTGATCTAGAGACACATAAACTGATAATAAATTCTATATAATTTGACCAGAATGAACATAAAAGATGATTTAATGATGTGGTCCATAGAAAAGCTAGGTAATATATTTTTCATCTAATAAAACCTTAACAAAATATAACTTGCGGATGTACATACATACATTATTGCAATTTAATATGTCAAATGTGTTAAAAAGCCTTCGTCACGTTCATAGCATCAATCCAATTATCAGCAAACCGTCCAAAGTAGGGAAGTGTTATAAAGAAAGTAAAAACACATACGATGCATAAAAATGCAATTGTTGAATATAAGATAACATTTACAGACAACATAATTATAATAATTTATCAGACCTCAACATTGAAAAATAACATAAAATTGTACAATCCTTAAAACAAGCAAACACTTTTCTTGAAAACGACCGGTTAGGAAAATGTACACAAAAATCGATTATGTCACCTATTTAAACCACAACAAACTGGTTGCCAAAAAATAAAATACATAAACATTTGAAAAAATTGTTGGTCAAAATACCGGAAAATGCAAGCGCAAAGTAATGACAACAAAGAAAACAAGTGTTGAAAACTATTGTCGATTTTCCATTACGATCTCACAAACTAGACATCCATATAAAGTTCCGGTTTTATACATATGCATAATGAAACCAAAATAAGGTGGAAGAAACATAGAAAGAAACATTTTGTGGATAAAGTGGATGTTACGCATGTGTGTTGGAGGACTACAATGCTTTCGAAAGAGTTTTGAAAGAATTGATTCGTAATAAAATTAGTCCAGACTATAGACTATTATTTAGTCCAGACCATAGACTAATCTATAGTCCAGACCATGGACCAATCTATAGTCCAGACTATAGACTAATCTATAGTCCAAACTATAGACTAATCTATAGTCCAAACTATAGACTTATCTATAGTCCAGACTATAGACTAATCTATAGTCCAGACTATAGACTAATCTATAGTCCAGACTATAGACTAATCTATAGTCCAGACTATAGACTAATCTATAATCCAGACTATAGACTAATCTATAGTCCAGACTATAGACTAATCTATAATCCAGACTATAGACTAATCTATAATCCAGACTATAGAGTAATCTATAGTCCAGACTATAGACTAATCTATAGTCCAGACTATAGACTAATCTATAGTCCAGACTATAGACTAATCTATAGTCCAGACTATAGACTAATCTATAGTCCAGACTATAGACTAATCTATAGTCCAGACTATAGACTAATCTATAGTCCAGACTATAGACTAATCTATAGTCCAGACTATAGACTAATCTATAGTCCAGACTATAGACTAATCTATAGTCCAGACTATATACTAATCTATAGTCCAGACTATATACTAATCTATAGTACAGACTATAGACTAATCTATAGTCAAGACTATAGACTAATCTATAGTCAAGACTATAGACTAATCTATATTCCAGACTGTAGACTAATCTATAGTCCAGACTATAGACTAATCTATAGTCCAGACTATAGACTAATCTATAGTCCAGACTATAGACTAATCTATAGTCCAGACTATAGACTAATCTATAGTCCAGACTATAGACTAATCTATAGTCCAGACTATATACTAATCTATAGTCCAGACTATATACTAATCTATAGTACAGACTATAGACTAATCTATAGTCAAGACTATAGACTAATCTATAGTCAAGACTATAGACTAATCTATATTCCAGACTGTAGACTAATCTATAGTCCAGACTATAGACTAATCTATAGTCCAGACTATAGACTAATCTATAGTCCAGACTATAGACTAATCTATAGTCCAGACTATAGACTAATCTATAGTCCAGACTATAGACTAATCTATAGTCCAGACTATATACTAATCTATAGTCCAGACTATAGACTAATCTATAATCCAGACTATAGAGTAATCTATAGTCCAGACTATAGACTAATCTATAGTCCAGACTATGGACTAATTTATAGTCCAGATTAGTCTATAAACAGACTAATCAGACTATAAACAAATTTATAGTCCAGACTATAGACTAATCTATAGTCCAGACTATAGACTAATCTATAGTCCAGACTATAGACTAATCTATAGTCCAGACTATAGACTAATCTATAGTCCAGACTATAGACTAATCTATAATCCAGACTATAGAGTAATCTATAATCCAGACTATAGAGTAATCTATAGTCCAGACTATAGACTAATCTATAGTCCAGACTATAGACTAATTTATAGTCCAGACTATAGACTAATTTATAGTCCAGATTAGTCTATAATCTATGGTCCAGACTATAAACAAATCTATAGTCCAAACTATAGACAAATCTATACTCCAGACTATAGACTAATATATACTCAGAACTATAGACTAATCTATAGTGCAGACTATAGACTTATCTACAATCCAGGCTATTGACAAAACTATAGTGCAGACTATAGACTTATCTATAGTCTAGACAATAGACTTATCTACAATCCAGACTATTGACCAATCTATAGTACTATAACTTATAGTACAGATTATAGAATGATCTATAGTCCAGACTATAGACTGATCCATAGTATGGACTATAGTCTGATCTACAGTACAGACTATAGGCTGATCCATAGTACAGACAATAGGCTGATCTATAATATAGATTATTGGCTGATCTACATTATAGACTATGGGTTGATCTATAGTTTAGAGTACAGACTATAGTCTAGACAACTCTATAGTGCAGAATATAGACTAATCTATAGTCCAGATTGTTGACTAATCTATAGTACAGACTATAGACATATCTGTTGTATGGACTATAGACTGATCTATAGTACTGATCTGTAGTACAGACTAATCTATGGACTGATCTATCTGATCTATGAGATTGAATACTTTTAAAAATCTGCATTTTATTTCAATGGTTTGTTACAAATAAAAGAAAACAGCTACCAATGAGGATTTCTTTGCCACAATTTCAAAAAGATACATTTTTTGATTCGTGTTTAATGTAAAACTAAGCTTCACTTGTGCTGCAAACGTTTAAGGTTTCAGTTCGTATTAGCGGATTATTTAACAATTTCACGTGAAAAGTTTACGAACCAAAAACAAATGGGTTTTAGGTGAGTACTCACTAGGAATCTAACTAACAAAAGAAATAAAGAAAACTTTTTTCTAAATTAATCATAAAAAGTTTTCCATTTTCAACTTAAACAAAAATGACGGGACATTTTGTCAGACTTATGATTCTTATGGCCATGGGCTTAGGTGCCATGTATATGCTGCATTTATTGGCTCAAGATTGGAATAAAATCAGACGTCCTATACCGCCAGCAGTTACCAGATTGCTAACGGGTGCCAGTAAAAATCTAGATAATTTTATAACACGCGGCAAACGTGATCTACAAGGACAACGTAGTCAACCAAAACGACGTAAAACTCACCAAGGTAATGAAATTAAGAGAATTAACAGCACGGCTGTTACTATCGATTGGAAACGTATATTATCGCGTGATCCGTTTGAGTGTCTACAATCATTAGTTTGTCAACTTTTATCGGGTGCCGAAAAGAACTCCCATGAAGCTTTAATGATGTGTGATTTTCTAGAGGAAAATATTAGCGTAGCACCTGCAAAAATTGGACGTGCTTTTAGTCGTGGCTTAGCCTATCGCGGCCGAACGGAACGTTGTTATGAGGAGTATCCATTTTGTTGGTATTCAGCTAAAACTATGCTTAAGATGTTAAAATGGTTTTCCGATACAGTTCAAAATTAGTCATATAATTAAGATTTTATTAAATAAGTTATGTTATTATTAATTTAAATTAACAGAGTGAAATGTATATTTTATAATTTCTCGTATACCTTTAGGGATTTTTCAGTTTAATGTTTTCATTATCTTTATTTAATACATAAAATTATTTCAGAATAATTGGAATTGTAATAAGCATTACTTTAAAAACAATAAACTATGAATACGACCTTAATATATTAAGCATTTTTTAATTATTAGTGTTAGATCTGGGCTTTGAATTATAATTTTTAATATCAAATGGTATAAATGATCATTCGATTATGGTTTAAGTTGTCTATGATTAAGAAACATGTGTTTGGAAGGACCAATGTTTGAAACAATAAAATTCATTTGATCATTTTTTTTTTAAGAGATTTGTTTAATATTCAGAACTATTCTTTAAGAACCAAATTAGATTTGTAGATTTGGATGTAATTTATTGTATTAGATAAAGAATAAAATTGAATTAAGAAATATTAAATACTTACCTTTCTAGTTGTCTTGATTTGTGTTCATCCAGAATTTTCAATGGATTTGATAGATGATAAAATGAGAATTTCAATGACATTTCAAATTTTAACTTGTTTACGTTTTGATCTAGAGATTTATTGAGAAAAGAAAGTGATTACGTTAAATTGTGTTTTAAATAAAGTTTATAAAGATTCAAGTACTAAATTTATAATTCGAATTGTCTACAGTTTTGAGGAATAGTTGAAGAATTATATTCTCTTATATGAAAATAATTTTATATATAACAAGTGCCAACGATCTGGTTCCTAGTTAACACTTTAGAACTATTTAGGGAGGTTTTGTTTTTTGAGTCTTAAGCTTAAGCTTCACTTAACTTCACAGTTATAAGCCGTTCAGCCATTATATACAAGTAACATGGATCTTGTGCAAAGCAGACAGGTCTAAGTCCATTCTCCGTTAGGCTCTTCAATAGGCTATTAATCCCGATTACCCAGAGCAAAGGGGCGAAACACTTTTTCCAGATAGTTTTATCGTATATCTCGCAGCTTATCAATCTGTTCTGTATCATGTAATTGATCCAGTTACAGTGCGCCCAGTCAACATGGAACTAGTTGAAGGATTAGATAGATATTATGTTATTGAAGGCTCCTTCGATGTCAATATACAGTGTGTTATCGAAGTATTCACCTATATAGTGAACGACTTCATACTGTGCGGTCTCCAACTATTTTCCCTTTACATAAGCATGCTGCTTATATTTAAGGTCCTTGTCTGGTATTGTGCTTTTTACCAGGATGACGATTGTAGGTGTCAAATTTTTAAGTGGCGTGGCTTATCTGTCGTTAAGACTTTAGTGTCGTATAACTATCTTGAAATTTTTAATTTTTCAGTTTATGTTTTTCGTACGAACAGGATTATTAATTAAACTATAAAAAGATGCAACTCCACTTCCCTTCATAGAAAGTAATGACCCAAAGATAGGAGAGGTGAATGGAAACAGGCCAAGAGGTTTTAATCCAGAAAATATATCGATTCGATTCCCTAAAGAATGAAATATGTGAGACTCTGAGAAATGACAAATTACCCTGATAAAACCCAGTAGACTGCGAGGTTTTAGCCAAGCAATTTTTCTCTTTTCAACATTTTGTATTTTAGGATATTCGCAAATTATATCTATCTTTAGTCTGCCGGGACTATAAACTGGTGTTTACATTTCACTCTATGGCTAGTCCTTGGATGATTTGAAAAGAGGTCTAACCAGAGCGCCAGATAATCTGGTACTACGGCTGGTCTGTTGGTTGAGGTTCCTTCGGGATCCACGTTGTGGTAGAAACCTAAATCGCAGGAAGGGGTTGCTTGGTTAAAAGATTGATACACGGTGAAATATAATTTTTTTGATGAATTTCTGTTATATTTCCTAGATTCTAGGAACGGTACAAACTACAGAGCATGACTGTGGATTAATAAATTGTTGGATTTGCTCTGTTAATGCAGGGATTGGTGCTTTTTGATGGATTGACGGATGAAGTGATGGATGGAGTGGCTTAGGTGATGTACTGAACTAAGGTTTGGTTGGAGTTTACTCTAAAACATGCTCAATTTATCACAGTGGGTCTTTGTGGCCTCTGAAGTAAAGCTTGTCAATTAAAATGATCCGTGTTTCGGACTACCAATTACGTCCCCTAGGAGCACCATCTCTAGTAGTGTGGTTGGGCGACATATAAGGTTTTCCTTTGTTGGGTTAAGCTTGCTCATGACACCTATCCTTCTCCGACGGGACTACTTTGGCAAGAGATTAGATAGCTCGAGACTTGAGCAAAGTGCACGTATACTGGACCTGACATCCATATATGTACGTAAATAAGCTCAATGGGGCGGTGGTGAGTCGTTACTTTTATACTCACCCAGTGGTTGAAAAAGAACACCGTGAAATAAGGCCCTCAGGGCAGGTGTAAAGCACTTCAACAATCTTGTCACAACTACATTCGTCAGGGAGTCTGAAAGACCTTTTTAACGGTATCAGCGATGTAGACAGATGAATATATATTCGATTCATAGGTGAAAACTGCACACATATTAAACATCGGATACAAGCCAGTTTTCCAAGATGTGTTTCCTTCCCTATTCTTTCCTTTGAAAGATTGCTATCATAGAAATTCAGTAAATACTTAGCTCCTCTCGATAAACATAGTTCGATGCCATCTTACTTTGGCAGCCTTCTGTTTTTCATGGATTTAAGCTAGTTCCTTTAGCTTTTGTCCATAACAAGAGTTCACCTACTGCAGTGTCCATGATATTACTAATCTTGAAGAGACATTTTCCTTTGACCAATAACACAACGTCATCTTCCTACCTTAAGATTCATAGCCTTAGGATACCATTAACCGTTAATAGCCAAAAAATGGCGAAGAAAATCCCCCTGTGGCGTCCCTTTTGTAACGCTTCACCTAATGCAATGATGCCCTAGGTGGGAGTTTATAATTCTGCTGCTAAATATGCAGATTATCCACAGGAAGTCCTGAACCCTGAGCTCTATAAGCTAATTCCTAATATATATCGAAAATTATATTAGTGTTGTCTAGAATGGATTCTAGATGTAATGGCGACACTACTAGTTCCAATGTTGCTGTCCAATAATTCAAAGTGTTTCTTTTTCACGCTCGTTCTAGAACTAGTTCAGAATTGTTTTCAAATACGTACTTTATTTGTATTTTGTTTTCTTTGTTTTATTTCAATACAAATTTATTTTTAAAATTCATTCAAATTATGTTTGTATTACATTAATATCTTGTTTTTTTAATAATATTAAGAAAATACATATTTTTAAGCAAATAACAATTACATATTTTGCATACAATAAGTTTTCATTTAACAAAAAATAAAATTTAAAATTTTTATAATAATAATAATAAAATAACATAAAAATACATAATAACATATTTATAATACGTATTGGAATGTTAAAAGTATAAAAAATACTAAACTTAAATAAAAAAAATTGTGCATTAATTCATGGTATAAGAAAAATAGGTACTTGTTAAAGTATAACTAAAGAAATTATAAAAAATTTGTGAAACTTGCGGTGAAATATTCGAGAAGATTTAAACATTGATTTTTAAGTCATGAGAATTGGTATTTTTAATTTAGTTTTAAATAGAATATTTGTAGTTTTCTGGGATTTCATAAGCTTTAAAGTATGTATGTACTTAAAGGGAATGATCTTCTTGGATTTTGTATAACATTTAATTAAAAATGTTTATGTTTAGTTTATAATATAGTTTATGGATATAAATAGGTATGTAGGTTATGTTTATTAAGATAGATATTAAATAAAAAAAAATTCGATAATAGGAATATATATTATATGTATATAGAGAGCTATAAAATTAATTGAAATTCGCGTAGTTTTTTATATTAGAAATTATTGTTTTAAAGTAATATTTATGTTTGTTATAAACTTTAAACAATTTTATTTCATAAAAATTTCTTTGAGCCATTCGTTTACATTTAAAACTGTTTAAATTAAAAGAATTTATTCGAATTTCATTGATATAGAAAAACAAGTAGGAGGTTCTATATTGGCCGGGCCAAATTTTATATACCCATAGCATGTGTTTAAAAAGAACAGTCCATACGTATTTTATTAAAGAAATCAAAAGATGGAAACGAAAAAGTACCGAGAGTGCACTTTCTAACTATGTTTTTTTAAAAAAAGAACCAAAAAGCACGAGTTGAAGAACAAAAAAGTACCACAAATTTTAGTCCTATAAATTTTCATTCCATATATGTCTGATTCTGTGTTTCTAGGTTTAGAAAATCAGCAAAAGTACTATTCAAATGACGAAAAAAGTACCAGAAACTCCCCATTCATTCAATATGCTGCCTATTTAATTTTGCGTTTCTACGTCAAATATTATAAAATATTCAAAAAGTACCAGTTGAAGTTTTAGGTTTATTCTAAATGATTAAAAAAGTACCAATTGAAGAAGGAAAAAGTACCAAAAATTCGGTCTTATAGATTATTGTTCATTCAGGATCGTATATATTTTTAGATTCAATATTGCAGAAAAAATTAAAAAGTACCAATTGAAGAAGGAAAAAGTATCAAAAATCATTTCTCAAAGATTTTCATTCACTTTGGATTTTGAATGTTAAATTTTATGTTTCTGGGTTCAATATTATAGAAAATTCAAAAAATACCTTTTGAAGAACGAAAAAGTACCAAAAAGTCCCCTCTTATTTGCTCTCATTAACACTACATGCTTAATTTTATGTTTAAGGTTCAATATTAAAGAAAATTCAAAAAAGTACCTTTTAAAGAATAAAAAAGTACCGAAAAAAGTAGTATTAGATACTAGAGTTACAAATAATACCCTTAAAACTTTTTTCCATCACTGATTAATTTCCCACACACAGTTTTCCATCTCTGCAGGGATGATTTTGGCTTTATTAAAACAATAACAAAACACGGCTTTTTATAAACAAGCAAACTAAATACAAGAACAACGTTTACCATATTAAGTTGTTGTTGTTGTTTTTTCTATGTGTCAAAACATGCACAAAAATGTTCAGTTTTTGAAGAAATTTTCAGAGGTTATCTCGGATTTTTGCTCATATCTCCATTATTTATGAATCGATTTTACTGATTTTAAATAGCGATCTTATCGAAACCATGTCTGATAGAACTATTAAAGTTTTGGATCCCCAAGATATCGGAGGTCTTCAGAAAATTGAATTCAACAAATATACAGATGGACAGACGGACGTACTACTTAATCGTGGAAAAATTAAATTGTAGAAATTACAAACGGAATGACAAACTTATCTCGAAGTTGAAGGGTATAATTAAGGAGTAAATACTTAACAGCTCATGGTAAAAATTACTTCAATTTATTTGAAAATCTATTTCAAATAATCTAGAGAAAATATTTAAAACATTAACGATGATTTTAGTTTTGGCCCCAAACTAAAAACTTATTTTAAATTTAAAAAACAGTTTTATAACAAATACAGCCTCAAAGATATTAAATAATTTCAGCATAATAAGGTGCATAAATAAAGTGTGATATTTAGTTTATATGCATATAAATATAATAATTATTATGTTAAATATATTATTGTTCATAAAGCGAGTATACGATTACAAGAAAATATTTTAGTTTTTTGTAGAAATTTTTGAGACAAATATGTTGTTTACAAATATTTATAAGATATTCTCAATATAAATAAGCCCATAATTATTGTGCTTGCTTATTATAGAAAAGAAAGAGATATAGAGAGATTATTACACAGTTAATAAACTGTTAAAATATATGTAAAGTAAAAACTATAAATTAAGGCCTTTAGGCTTAAATTTGAAAATAATTATAAAAGGATTAAAAAGTAATAATATTTGAGATTCTTAAACTATATAATTAAATATACATGAAAAGCATTTTCAAAAAATAAATTAAAGTTTTAGTTTAAAACTAAAGGAAAAACTATGACTTTTTTCATGTTGCTTTGTAAATTCATTATCACTGTAGATGAGTGTGTATATGTGCGTTTTCATTATTGCTTTTTTACTTCATAAAATAGTATAAAATTCATATGTAGGTACAACCCTTTAATTAAATTAAAACGAAAACATAAAATAAAAACTTACTAAGACTTTTGTTTGTGCTCTGCTTCTTCACCTTGACGCATAGTAATATTAGTGACATCTTTAACTATCATTTCAGCCACCTGCCAGGCAATTTCCTCTTGTACATTATCATCCGGTAAATGTACCAATTTACGCATAGCATTTTTGATTTTATTACCCTGTAAGGTTAAAGACCAATTGTGATTTGATTTCAATGAAGAGTGTTGTAAAGCATCTGAGGGTGAGATAAAATCTCGTTCATAACGTCCTAAAGAGTTGACACGACCAAATTTTAAATTATTGCTATTAGAACGATGCCATAGTAAATCGGGATTGGTTAATTGTGAGGAATCAATATTTAAATGGAATTGTTTCAGATGTGACGAATGACTATTGGAATCCATTGAGGCTAATAGGGTGTTATGCTGTGATATGGGTAATTTCTTATCCAACGTACAATCCGATAAGGTTTTACGATGCCGATTAGAGGTTTTATCACTAACACAACGACGCAAAGGTTTATGCAGGTTTTGTAACTGATTAAGATTTTCTTTAAGTTCCTTGTCCTCCTCAATACGTGTTTTCAGTTCATTTAAATAGTTGGCAAATAATGAAGATTTTAAAAATAATTTCAAATATTTACACTCCAAATATTTTGCTGCCACTTTTAAAGGCAAATCGAAACAGTAAAACACTAAACCCTCGGTACAAATGCAGGCCTCAACATGAGATCTTAATTTATTGGAAGACCATAGTTTCACCTCATTTTGTAAAGAGAAAAATTTCTCATAAATAATCATGGCATCTGATTGGGCCTCCTTCTCATTGCGTATTTGTGATTCCTGAGACAAATAACTTTTACGATAATTTATGGCCGAAGACCAAAAATCTAAACAGTCTCTTTCCTGATGCTGTTCCAAATATTCCATCAAATAGAATAGTGTCACCTCACTGTGTAGAATATCATTGATATTTAAGCTATGGCCCTGTATTAGTTCAACACAATATTTTGCATAATAGGTACTTTGTAGAAAATCATTTAGGTATTCCTTTTCCAGTTGGCTGAGTATGAATTGTTGAGCCTCTGTAAAACAATCCGAAGTAATGGCACGGTTTTCTTCTTCCTGTTCGTTTTTGCATAAAATCAAGGAAATTTTTGATAATATATCCACCGGTATATCAATATGCTGCTGTGCATTTGCTATTAAATATTTCTGATATATTGTTAATGCATCCTGTACACTGGCCATCGAGATTACCACAGATTCGGAATGTTCGGTGTAGTTACTGGTTAAACTGCAGAGTGACAGTTCTGAGGAAGCTTTAATGTTACTCTTATCATTACATTTAGTTAGTTGTTTATTTGTTTCAGCGTAAATTTGTGATTTTTCATCATCGGTTAAGGGTTTGCGCATAGTTAAATCGCATAATGTTTTTAATTCAGGTACAAGACTGTTATCATTATCGCATCTGTCTTCTCCAGCGGCACAGGCTGCAGCTCCCGCTGCCACAAGCGTTTCTCCAAAATCATTACGCTGCTGCTGTTGTTGCATTATATGATCATCTGTATCATTATTACTAGCTGTTACTGGTGTCATTTCCGTTGGACCATCGTTTAACGTTGTCTCCTCGGGTATTTGTTGTGAAATTAGTTTGTGTTTTTGCTCTTTACGCAACTGTGCTAAAGCTGCATTTTTGAAATTTTCTGTATCTAAATAGAATTTGATTAAAGGCAAAGCATTATGTTTTTCTAAATATTGAACGAAATAACTGAGGCAATTTGGTTCATTGACTATGGAGGTGACAGACATCGATAGGCGAGAATGATATTTGAAAATATCTGGAAAAAAGATGTATCGAAAAATTTAATAAATTAATTTACTTTACAATTATGTATATATACTTTGAATAATGCAGTAATTCAGACTAGTTCAGTTCTAGTTCAAATCTAGTTCTAGTTCAGTCCTAGTTTAGTTCTATTTCAGTTCTAGTACTGTTCTAGTTTTAGTTCAGTTCTAGTTTAGTTCTATTTCAGTTATAGTTCAGTTCTAGTTCAGTTCTTGTTCAGTTCTAGTTCAGTTCTAGTTCTGTTCTAGTTCAGTTCTAGTTCAGTTCTAGTTCTAGTTCTAGTTCAGTTCTAGTTCTATTTCATTACTAGTACAGTTCTAGTTCAGTTCTAGTTCAGTTCTATTTCAGTTCTAGTTCAGTTCTAGTTCAGTTCGAGTTCAGTTCTAGTTCAGTTCTAGTTCAGTTCTAGTTCAGTACTAGCCCAGTTCTAGTTCAGTTCTAGTCCAGTTCTAGTCCAGTTCTAGTTCAGTTCTAGTTCAGTTCTAGTTCTAGTTCAGTTCTAGTTCAGTTCTAGTTCAGTTCTAGTTCAGTTCTAGTTCAGTTCTAGTTCAGTTCTAGTTCAGTTCTAGTTCAGTTCTAGTTCAGTTCTAGTTCAGTTCTAGTTCAGTTCTAGTTCAGTTCTAGTTCAGTTCAGTTCTAGTTCAGTTCTAGTTCAGTTCTAGTTCAGTTCTAGTTCAGTTCTAGTTCAGTTCTAGTTCAGTTCTAGTTCAGTTCTAGTTCAGTTCTAGTTCAGTTCTAGTTCAGTTCTAGTTCAGTTCTAGTTCAGTTCTAGTTCAGTTCTAGTTCAGTTCTAGTTCAGTTCTAGTTCAGTTCTAGTTCAGTTCTAGTTCAGTTCTAGTTCAGTTCTAGTTCAGTTCTAGTTCAGTTCTAGTTCAGTTCTAGTTCAGTTCTTGTTCAGTTCTTGTTCAGTTCTATTTCAGTTCTAGTTCAGTTCTAGTTCTAATTCAGTTTAAAAAAACCTGACGACATTCATAACTTTGACTATACATAATTAATAATTTTCCATTTTAACTAACAAAACAAAACATGAACATAGCTAACTCATTACAACATACATATGACATTTAATAATTATCCCCCACTCATTAGTTACGTGATTTTAATTAAAAATTTACCTTCATCAAATTCAACAATTGAATTTAAAGCCATTACAGAATTAGCAGCGGCAGCAGCACCTACGACATGATTATTAGCAATACCGCTCCCACCATTGCTAAGTGCACCTAAACTTAAAGCTCCGTAACTGACAGCATCTTCTTCTGTTGTTGGTGTAGTTAGTAAAAGGCCTAAATTAGCCAACTCTTCGAGAAAAACTTCATCACAGAAACTGGAAGTTGAACGTAATGAATGACGCTTTACAGTGCTGACAGCAGAAGATGAGGTTGATAAATCATCTAAAGTGCCAGCACTATCAGTTTCATCAACAATACTATTTATAACACTGTTGTTTTTATTGTGATTCGAGCCAAAGTAGTGGTCATTTTCATTAATATTTGAAGAACCAGCACGACCTAAAAAGTCAAAAATATTAAACAATTACAAAATTAATAATACCTGCCATAAACCTGCAATTAATTAAAACAACAACAACAATGTTAATAAAGAATTTCAACTATTTCTTTTTTTATGATTGACACCAATTATTTATTTATTCTTTCTTTTGCTGACCATCAATTTTTTATGGCTGTTAGCAGAGAAGTCTCTGTTCTGCTGGCTGTCGTCTCACAGTATTTTTTGATTATTAAATTTGCCTCATTGTTGTTGTAATATTTGGGAGACACCAATAACAACAAACACACAAAAATTTTACTTACTTTTCTGTCTTTTGAAATATTTCAACATTTTTTACTTTCATTCGTTGTTTATTTGAGGAATTTTTTATTTATTTCCTAATTTTAATTACATTTATTTGCGTTTTCTTTTGTTTGGAAAATAAATAAGTAATTGTAATATTCTTTTATTTGTTTTGCAAAATTTTGTACACAATATTTTTTGTTTTCTATGACCAATGCACTAAAAAATAAATAAATTTCTCCGAGACGTAAATATCTGCTGCTTCTTGTCAAATATAAGTATTCACTATAAATGATTAGCAACTACGATGACATGTAAGGAAATGATAGTGATGCCGTATTGGTAAATAAGTTATGTATAATTATTTTCAATAAAGTAACGGTTCTTATGTTTCTCAGTTAATTTGCAAATAACTTGCTGATAAGGGTTTTCAACCCTTTTATTCATTGACACTGCCTTACCCATGAAACTGCTTTATCGAGATATTCGTTAAATGTTTAAATCATTTTTTAAATAAATACCACGTTTTTTTAGAGGGTTTAGAACATAAAATTATGTTTTTATTGATAATATTTAATTTTAATTATTTTTATATGTATATTTTATAATTATGTTTATGTATGTTTCTTGTTGTTGTTGTTGTATATATATAATATTTTTTTATAACTGTAATCTGTATGCATATTTGTTACGGTATACTAATTTATAATTATAAATAGGCTAATTTTTAATAATAATAATAATATTTTTATTTATTTTATAATATTTTTTTTCATATTTAAGACATTAAATGTTTGTTTTAATTAATTTAAATTGTTGCTTATAGTTATTATTATATAAATGTTTAAATATATAAAATTAATAGCAAAAAATGCAGCAATTTTTGCGATTTTTTTTTGGTAAATTTTTTAAATGTTTTCTTTTTTTTTTTATAAATTAACTTGTTTTTATTCTTATTTATATTTTTGCTTATTTTTTGTTTATGAAATAATTTGCTAATATTATTTTTTTATTAAACATTTTGAGTTTAATTGAAAATAAAAGTTATGCAAAATAATTTCATAGAAATTAATAAAAAAAGTTGATGTTGGATTTTTTCAAAAATTAGCTAAAAAAAACAATTTTTCAAACATAAATTAGTTTTTTTTAAGGATTTATTTGTATTTTAGTGTTTAAATTTGTTTTTTATTTAATTTAATTATATTTTTATGTTTTTTTTTTTTCATTGTATACAAACAAGAACACATTTTAGTTAAATGTTATATTTTGAAAAAAATCTTTAAATTACAAAAAAATATATATTCAAAATCTATAAAATGAAATTCAAACAGTTTTGTTAGGTTTTAACAAGAAAAAAAAAAAGAAAAATAAAATGCGATGGTTTTGAGTGCCTTATTAACTAAACAATAATTAATAATTTATTTATTTAAACTTAAATATTACAAAAATAATAAAAGTTGTTAACAAATATTTATATTTTTTAACGTATAAATATTTATTTTTAAGAAGTTTTGTATTTTTTCATTATTTTTTTTAATTTATTTTTAATAAGTTTTTTTATGTTCCTTTTCATTTAAATTTTTTAAAATGTATTTTTTTCTATTTTCTTTGAGTTTGTACTTTTTGTTGTTGTTGGTTGGTATATTGCTAAAAAAAAAAGATGGAGTTTTTTATATTTTCTTTTTTTTTTATATAAAATTGTATTTATTTTTTTATTATTATTTTTGTTTAGAGGTTTTTTTATATATTGCTTGCTTAAATTTTGTTAAGAGTTTTTTTGTTTTGTTTTAGAAAGTTATAGGTAGCCGATTCAATTTGTTGTGTATTATATTTATATAAATTGCTTGGTTTTTTGAAAATAGATTAAGAAGAAAATTGTTTAAAATTAATAAAATTTTTTGAAATACAAGACATTTTTTTTAACGAATTACCACATTCGTGAGCGAATAATACGACTTTCATTAGCGAACAAGAAATTCATTACGCTAATGTTTCCTTTTCTTATTTTGCTTGCGAAAGACAAGCAGGAGCCGAATTAACCCATTCTTGATTGAGTAAAATGGATAAGGTTGTTATTCGATATCGAACAAGTAAAATTTCCATTCATAAGCAATTTGTCTCCAGTTGTTTATGAGCTAATTATTTTGAAAGTGTTTTATTTGTATTTCGGAAATTATATTCACATTTTATATATCGCAAATGTTAAAAAAGTTTCAAAAAAATTAGTTCATAATACTTTTTTTTGGAACTTTGAAAGTTTTTCAAATGAAAATTTTCATTTCGAATGTTAAAAGCACCACATTTCGAAATTAGTGGTAAATTTAAATAAATGATCCTCTGTTCTGTAAATCGAAACTACAAGAACATTTAGTAGGTTGGCCAAAACTTCCAACGGTATTTTTTTTACAATATCTTTCATTAATTCTGAACGAAAGTGAAAATTTTCCATAATTGTCATTTTTAGAAATCTTCAGATGGAACTTTTGAGGGCAGCAGCTGACTCTTCAGTATCCAAATGTTTAATAATTCTTTCACACATGCTATCGAGTAGTTTGCTAATGAAAAGCACCATATTCGAAAGACCTTTCATTAATGTATACATTAAGGCCGGGTTTCTTACTACTCAGTTAAACTAGGCTGTTAGATTGAACTTAGAACAAATTTAGGCGGACTTTAAACGATGTTAGTGTTTTCCAGATATAGATTTAAGGGCAGTTAAACTTTGTTAGTATTGTCATCTTTTCAGTCGAAAACATAAACAATGAACAGCTGTTTTTTGCAAATATTACTTTTATAAAATGAAAAATTTTAGAAAAAATTAAAAAAAAAACACAAAATATAGGTTAAACTAGGTTTAAACATAGGTTCAGTAGGTCTAGGAAAAGAACTACATATGTATTAAAGATATATCCGATAATAATATCAAAAATTTTCCATATATCAATCATTTATACATACATATAAAAAATTTGTAATTTTTCTTTTTAAGTTTCGATTTACAGAGCAGGTTCAAATAATAATAATAATGTCTTGTTTTTTATAAAGAATTGTTTTTGCATAATAAATCGCCTATAAATATTAAATAGTAATTTTCCAAAAGAAATTAATGCTTGATAGTTTAAGTAGCAGCAAAATGTTAACGTTTTATATAGAAAAGTTTTGATATTTTAAGCCGCTTTTGTATCGAAAACAAATCTTAAAATTAAATAAGTATAGAGACGTCGAATTACCGCATACATGATCAATATCACATTTCCATATTGAATTTAAGTTAAAATCTATTAAATGTCTCTTTGATATCCATTTTAATGATAACAAAAAGGACAATTAGAATAAATTTTACTTGATTCTGTTGGTAATTTTTGATCGATAATGGAATTGAATTAGATCAATGACGATTCCATTGAATCTAAATGTTTAATAACGCCGCCCCTGTTCGTTCCTTTCCACGTTATCTTACAAAACTCTTTTGGCTAAATTTTTAAAAATTTAAAGTTATTTACAAAAGTTGAACGGGTTTTGGTCTTAGTTTTTATTTATTAACCTTAAAATCGATAAAAAAAAAATCTTCCTTTTCAGTATTGGGACATTGAGCAGGTGCCGAAACACCCCGTCATACTTTTGCTTTAACTTTATTTTTCTTTAGATTAAGATTTCTTGAAAACTAGTTGTGATTGACAAATACTAAGGTCACAATTTCGGCTACAGGGCAATGATAAATTCTTTAGACAGTAACATTTTGGTGACTTCGTTAGAAAATGTGTTGACCTGTGGGCGGTTAAGAATTACAAAGTTTAACACTTTGCAGAAAAGCTTTACTTCGCGCTTTAAGTATCCCACAGTATTTTATCAACTTTAGAGTGGCCAACTCTAAATATTTTAAGGATAACCCTGACTTTTTCTAAATTCCATTTCTTGATCCTCAAGGTTATGTTTATTCTAAACTAATTCTAATTTAAATATTTCAAACTTTAGTTAAGATCAAAATGTGTCTTAAGCTTGATTCTGTAAAAAAACTGAATCTGTAAAAAAATGTTTGAAAAATATTTTTAGCGACCAAAATAAAGTTTCGATAAGTTCTTCACTTAACTTTCGTTAAGTTCGAAATTTATAAAGAACTTTAAAGCAACTCAAGTCTAATGCATGAATACAGCAAAATATCTTGCAAATTTGTCTTAGGGTCCAAAATAAAGTTTCGTTAAGTTCAAAATTTGTCATAAACTTGTTTCTTATTCACGTTTACAGCTTACATATGGAAAAATATCTCGAAAATTCCTTTCGATAATCAAGTTTCGTTAATTTCTTCAAACTTTCGTTTGAAGTTTGAAATTTGTAAAGAACTTAAATGCAATTCATGTTTATTGCATAAAAATCACAAAATATCTTGTAAATTTGTCTTAGGATCCAAAATAAAGTTTCGTTAGGTTTTAAAACTTTCGTTAAGTTACAAATTTTTCTAAAACTTGTTTCTAATTCACGTTTATAGCCTGCATATGCAAAAATATGATGAAAATTCCTTTTAGTTTCAAAAATAAAGTTTCGTTAAGTTTTTCAAACTTTCGTTATGTTCAAAATTTGTAAAGAACTTGAAGCAATTCAAGTCTAATGCATGAATACCTCAAAATAGCTTGGAAATTCATCTTAGGGCCCAAAATAAAGTTTCGTTAAGTTTTTCAAACTTTCATTATGTTCAAAATTTGTCTTAAACTGGTTTCTAATTCACGTTTATAACTTGCATTTGCAAAAATATGATGAAAATTCCTTTTAGTTTCAAAAATAAAGTTTCGTTAAGTTTTTCAAACTTTCGTTAAGTTCAAAATTTGTAAAGAACTTGAAGCAATTCAAGTCTAATGCATGAATACCTCAAAATTGCTTGGAAATTCATCTTAGGGCCCCGAATAAAGTTTCGTTAAGTTTTTCAAACTTTCGTTATGTTCAAAATTTGTCTTAAACTGGTTTCTAATTCACGTTTATAACTTGCATTTGCAAAAATATGATGAGAATACCTTTTAGTCTCGAAAATAAAGTTTCGTTAAGTTCGAAATTGAGGACATTTTTTAGTTGTTTAGCGGGAATAGAGTTATTGAAACTTTTTAGCAAAGGAATTTTTAGAAAAAAATACGTTCAGATTGCTTTTACGCAATTCCAGAAAGTTTGGGTGCCCTGGTAATCTGCTTGTTAGCATACCTTTTTGGTTATCATTCCCGCCAGAGCCGCCTATTCTCTGTTTTATGGCAACAGTCTGTGACTTTGATGCTCTGCTAAGTTTAGAATGTAATTATAAACAACTCCTCAGAAGTCTATTAAATAATGGTTCCAGCATTATTTTTTCAAAATCTTCTCCTTCTCCTCTTAGGCTTTAACTTCAGGCTTTTTAAACCACTAACATGAACATTTTAATGCCTTTAAGTTAAATTCTTAATATAATCTGAAATTTTTGTAAAAAATATCCAAGTTTTTCAAGCTCATAACTTCAACACAACCCTGCACAACCGGTCTCTGTAACCAATATTCTCAACTATTTACAAAAAAGACAAAAACTAGAAAATTTTAGCCAAAAAAGTTTTTTTCTACTTATTTTCCAATAAGTTTTCTGTTTTATATAACCTGCAGCTCTGTTTCAGCATTTTTAAATAATTTTTTTCGGATAATTTCAAGCATTAGTTTCTTTTAGAAAAATTTCGTGTATTTCTTTTTTTTTAGAATGTTTTCTTAAAAGTATTTTTTATGAAAAAAAAAAATGTTTAGTTATGTTGCTAAATGTACAATATAGAGAAAGAAGTATTTTTCTGTTAGTTTTTAATAATTACGTTTTAAAGAATTTGAAACGAAACGATTTTTACGTACAATTTTCTTAGATAAATTTGTTGTGGCAAAACGATGATGCTGCTGTTGATGATGAAGATGTTGCTTTGCTAAAGATGAGGATGAGGATGATGATAATGATGTTGCTGTTGGTGATGTTGTTGTTGCTGAATTGCATGTAATTTTTTTAGATTTTGTATTAAATGTTGTGTTAATAGTTTTGTTTTTATTATTAATATTATTAGGAATAATAAGAGAAGCAAGATTATTTAATTGTTTCGATATTTTTGTATTTGTATTTAAAGAATTAACATTTCTTTTATGTAAATGATTATTATTATTAAGTTTAATATGTTGTTGTTGTTTAGTATTATTATGATTACGTTTAATTAAAGGAGTTGTAATTTTATTATTAGTAGTAGTTGTTGTTTCTGCTGAAGTTATAGAAATATTGTTGTTGTTATTATTGTTATTAATATTTTTATTTGTTTTTGTATTAATAATAGAAATTGTCGCTTGTTTTTTTGTATTTTTACTACCATTTGCTGTAGTAAGTTTTAAAAAATGTACATTTTTATTAATACTAGTCTTAACACTATCATTTAAATAATTATGTTTATTATTATTATAAATTTTATTATTATTATTAATATTATAATTAACCAACTGCTTATTACTATTAATTGTTTTATTTTTTAAATTACTAAAATTAAAATTATTTTGCAAAAACATTTTATTATTTTGTTTAATTTTTAAGGTTTCTTTAACTTCATGTTTATTTTGTTTAACCTCATCATCCATATTTATTTGTTGTTGTTGATTTTCTGTTATAAATTGTTTTAAATTTGTATTTTTTGCCTCAATAATAATGTTTTTATTTTTATTATTGATTTCTTTAATTTGAACATTTGTTTTAAAAGTTTTCTTAGAATTTTTAGTGGAAAAATCTAAAGTTGTAGCTGACAACAAGGGAGTAGTTGCTGGGGAGTCTTTAGCTGTGGTGTTGTTGGTTTCTTCATCAACAATTTCTTCAAAAATTTCATCTATTTTATAAAGTTTATGTTCTACTAAATATTCCTCTATTTCTGCTGTTTGTTTATTAACATCCTCATCATCTACTACTGTTGTTGTTGTTTCTTCTTCTTTATACTCATCAAATTCCTGTAAATTCTCTTCAAATTCCTTTAATGCTTTAACTTGATTTGAAACATCGTCACCACCACCCGCATTCGCATCCGCACCACCACCATCATTATTAGGATCTACTTCTTCATCATCATCTGTTCTGTAGCTAGTGTCGTCGTCACCTTCATTATCTTCATTCATATGATGTGGAGGATTATGTTGTTGTTTATGATGCCGTTGATGATGTGTGATTTGATGTTGTTTCAAGGCTGTGTTGTTATTGTTTTTGTTGAAAGCAACTTTATTACGTTGCAATTGTTGTTGTTGCTGCTGCTGCTGGTTTATTGGGAGGCCGCGAAATCAAGACAGTTGTTTGGCCACAATAACACCCGGACGACACTGCTTTACCGCCGTAGTACTAATGGTAACATTAGCCGGTGATCCCGCTGTTGTAGTGCCAACTTTTGTTATTGTTGTACTGCCGCCAGCGGCATTTGTTTGAACCTTAAAAATGGCGGTGGGTGTAACATTTTGAGAAACAACCGAAGTTACGGTGGCCCCACCACTTGAACTACCAGCTGCTACTGACTTTGAAATATCTTTTTGTATGACCGCAGCACCGGCCTTCGTTAGGGTCATGGCCGTGCCTCCACCACCCACAATAGTGACCTGTTTACTGCCTCCCTTAAGCTGTAGGAAGGGTCGTAATTCCGCTAATGTTTTACGTTGTGCCACCACATGTTGTTTGTTGGTCAAAGCGAGTGGGGCATCTTGGCCTATTGCTCTTACCGCTTGGGTTTGTACCAACACCTTGTGCTGTTCACCATTGCTGTCGGTGAACAAATGATCGCCCTCTAGATGGCGTATGGCTTCCACTATTGTTTCGAGATTTTGTCGTGAACGTGTTAGACCACTCGTTTGTTCGATTTTCTCAGTTTTTACCTTTTTTAAAGTGGCATCCGTTATACGTTCCACCTCAACTTTTGGTGTGGCCTTAATAGCTGCCTGCAAGATGGGTTGTAACATGGCGGGTGTAGGAGAGTTGCCCTCGGCATAGGCTTTTGCTATAGCATTCACAGCTACCTCTTGCTCCGATTCGGTAGAGCTGGAGGACAATACCACTTCTTCGTGCACATTATCTTCGGTTATGATTTCGGCTGCTGCGGCGGCTGCTTCACTATCCAATTCCTCAATAGTAGAGCAAACCACCACCTGCTGCTGGCCCGTTAATTCATCAATTTCTACATAGGAAAACTCTTCGCAATCTTCACGCAGCAAATTACCAGTGTGTTCGATTACTTCACGGGGAATGTAAGTGGTTGTGGTGGTGCCATCCGTCTCATCGGCCTCTACCGCGGAGGGTTGGGGTGCTGTTGCTACTGAATACAATTGGCGTTTGATCATTTGTAATTCCTCCTCCAACATGGTACGTAAACGTCTTTCCTTATACAGCTGCTCCTTCAATTCGACCATTTCTTTTGTGTTCTGTTGTAATAGTATTTGAGCCTTGGTATTTACTGCCACCGTACCTCCAGCAGCATTTAATAAAGTCATTGGTTCTGGAGACATTGATCCAAGACCCTCATCCGAGGAATCACTTATGGTTTGAACATTGGCTACATTATCGGTTAGTTTGCGCTTCTTAACGGCTACACCTGTAACATTTTCACCATTATTGCCGGCATCTGGATTTGTGCTACTACTACTTCCGCCACCTCCACCGCTGCCAGCTTCATGTTGCCCCAGTTGACGTTTCAGTTGGCTATTTTGTGCCAATAGTTGTGTTTTTTGATTTTCCAATTCACAGATGTACTGCGATGTTTGCTGTAGTATGGCGGCCTAAAAAGAGAAAAAGAGGAAATTTGTTAAAAATCTAAAAAAAAATATGGGCGTTAAGTTGTTAGTAAGTATGATAAATTAAATATGCCCTAGACTACATATATATACAAATAGATAGCTAGATAGTTAGATAGATAGATAGATAGATAGATAGATAGATAGATAGATAGATAGATAGATAGATAGATAGATAGATAGATAGATATACATATATAGATAGATAGATAGATAGATAGATAGATAGATAGATAGATAGATAGATAGATAGATAGATAGATAGATAGATAGATAGATAGATAGATAGGTAGATAGATAGATAGATAGATAGATAGATAGATAGATAGATAGATAGATAGATAGATAGATAGATAGATAGATAGATAGATAGATAGATAGATAGATAGATAGATAGATAGATAGATAGATAGATAGATAGATAGTTAGAAAGGTAGATAGATAGATATAGATAGATAGATAGATAGATAGATAGATAGATAGATAGATATACAAATTCATTATGTACGCCTGCTACTCAATGAATTTCTTTTACAGAAAATTGTGACCTGCATTTTCTTTATTATTCTTCATTTCTCCAATTGTAAGTAGAGCTTAAAGAGCACACAAAACAACAAGATACTTTAATGGAATGTTCACATTTTACACCCTGATATTGATGAATATTTAAATGTCTGTCTGCCAAAGCAAATCGTAAATGTATTCTCAAGTTGTTTGTTATTTAAATCGAGAATTTTGCGCGCCATCCAACAAAATGCAACTTGCCAAGTAACATATGACAACATTTGCACATACATACGTTTGGCCATATCGAATATTGTGTCTCTGCACTTTATGTGTGTGATTCTTCGCATTTTGCATACAATTTGTTTGTTGTGTGTGTACCTATAGCGTAGAGTGGAGATTGTACTACATGTTAAGTTGGATTTAGCGCTGCATAATTGCATTCCAATGACGGTCACTGACATTTGGCATTGTTAGAGAAATACTATGTGGGTATGTATGCATGTGCAAAGAGATATTTTTTGCTTTTGTTAATTTGTTTGATCTTTTATTTGATTTGATTAAATTTCAATTATGTTCAAGAATATTTTCTTCAAAAATATTATAAAAAATAAACCAATGGGGTTTTTCCTAAAATACACTACTTAAATAGCCATAGGCCAAAACTATTTCCCTATTTCGAAAGATTAAATTCGTAACAACAGTATGAGTTTGGCTGCAAAACAGACATTCCAAAGGAAAAACCACTGATCTCGGACCATCTTATATAACCAACTACCTACACTGACTCAAACAATTGCCCGTACACTAAGCTTTTGACAATATTATTTATTGTAGTTTAAAAAATATGTATCGTACAATAAAAAGTTTAGTATTTTTAAAAACTACATTAGGTATATAAAATAAATAAAAACACAATAGAGGTAAAGACAATTTAAATTTTATTAAATAAAAAAAACAAAAGAGTACTACAGAAACTAAGCTCAAAAAATTCTCCGTACAATATAGTGATTGAAACTTAAGTATAGCTTAAATTAGAAATTTAATAGTTTTAATAGCTTGTATGGTATCCTTTAGCTTTAATGACATCTGTCAAACGATTTTTCATTGACAGTGCTAATTTATTTGTCGTTTCGCTGTCAATATTGCGCCACTCCTCAAGAATTGTATTTTTTAGCATTTGTTTGTTAGTAATTGTATGTTGCCTAATTTTTTTTTTTTCCAAAATTCCCCATAAATGCTCTATAGGGTTCAGATCTGGACTCTGGGGAGGATGTGGAAGCACTTGTTTTACATTATTATGTAACCATTCACATACAATTTTCGATTTATGTTTTGGGTCGTTATCTTGAACGAATCGAAAATCATCTTTAATGCCCAATTTTTCTGCACTGGCTTCTAAATTTTCTTCTAATATATTTAAGTAATGATTTTTGTCCATTGTCGTTTCAACAAATACTATATTTCCGACACCTCCTGCGGACATAGCACCCCACACCATGACACTACCACCACCGTGTTTCACTGTTGCTTTGAGGTTTTTTAATTCGAGGGCGGTATTTTCTCTACGCCACACAAATCTCCGGCCATCTGACCCAAAAATGTTAAACTTGCTCTCATCCGTAAAAATTACCGTTTTCCAGAAGTCTTCCGTTTTGTTTACGAAGTTTTTGGCATACTCCAAGCGTAGTTTCACATTCTTTTTTGAAATAAACGGCTTCTTACGTGGTACACATGCCTTATACTGGCATTGATGAAGAAAATTTCGGATTGTTTGTGCATTTAGAGCTACGTTTTCACTTTCTTTAATAATTCTCGCTATTTCCACTGCACTCATTTTTGGATCGAGCTTCACCATCCGTTCAATTTTCCGTCCTAATCGTAAATCAATAATTTTTTTGCGGCCTCTACCTGGAGAAATTTGTAACAAACCAGATTTTTTAAACTTTTCTACGACATATTGGACAGAAGATCGTGGCCTTGATACTATTTCCGAAATTTGTCCATAACTTTTTCCTTCATTGTACATTTTTATTATTAAATCCTTGATGTCTAAAGGAATTTTTGTTCCACGTTTATTATTTGCACTCATTTTAAATGTGAAAAATGTAAAAATCAACAGTAAGATTTTAAATCAATGCTGACAACATTAGCAATAAGAAAAAAACTTTTTTTCTAAGTTCCGTTACATTTTAGAGCTGCATCATTTACTTTTTTCTACCTGTACGGGCAATTTTTTGAGTTTAATTTTAGCAGTGTTGCATTTTATTAATCGCTTAAAACCAATTAGATTATTATATAATGTTTTTGTAACTGGGAAATTTATTACAACATTATAACGTATTCTAAAAATTAAAATTATTTGAATTGGTGAAATACTTTAGATAATATTACAAAATATGTTTTATAATGACTGGTGTACGGACAATTGTTTGAGTCAGTGTATTTAGAAACCTGGAAGATATTGAAAGAACTTAGTAGGAAATCAATCAAAGGGTTCAATCCCCCGAACAGAGAAATAACAAGGGACCGAATTACATACTAAATACGTAATCGAACAAGCTTTCATATCGGAAATCCATTTCGAAACCGAAATTTATCTAAAATACCTACTATACCTACTAGATTTATTATTCGATATCGAATGCCCATCATCTTAAAATTTCACTCGATCACGAATGCCATAATTCACTCTATAATTTCTTCTTACAAATTAGTTAGTGAAATTGTACTGTGAAATATAATTGTAAAAACAACTGATTAAAATGACGCCGCCAACAAAATAACAACAAAAATTTACTAAATGCCGGTAATTTAAATTAAGCACAAATAAATGTTAAATCAAAAAATCCCACAATAAACACAAGTAAAATACAGACAATTTATAAAACCACTGCAAAAATTTAAACTCAATGAAAGGGCCAACAACACATAAAGCAGCAAGAGGAGGTCGCAGAGGTTTCTTAACAATTGCACATACTGTAAACAAAACAGAAAAACAGCAACAACAAAACAAATGTAAACAAATACTAAAAATATTTACAAAAACAACACAAATAAAACGCTCATATGTTTTTAGCGGCTTTTCATTATTATTGTGTTTATTTTGTTTTTTTATTAATTCCACTGTGTTGGTTTTTATCGTCTCTGTTTCTTTGTTTTGTTTCTGTTTTGTAAACAATTCATTCAATGTTCGTTTTTGTGGTGACTGTACTTTTTTTGTGTATTAAACGTTGGTATAAGTATGTGTGTGTGTAAACGGAACGCGCGGCGTCATACTACTCCTCTCTAAGTTTATAGTTGCTGTTATTGTTGTTGTGTTTAGCGAACAATAATACGGGGGAAAAAACAAAACAACAAACCAAATATAAAAACAAAAAAATATTCGCCTTAACTATGTTGAGCAAATTTTTGTGTTTCTTTTTCCACCTTATATTCATAACAAAACAAATACTACGACTTGCTCACTCTCTCTCACTCTTCATCCGGCTGATTGGAAACAAAAATACAGCAGTGGTACAAAACAGAAAGAAACACCCTAGAAATTGAAACACATGGTGTAAAAACACATGTTTTTTTCGGTATAAATTACAGAGAGTGGAAGTTAGAGAGAGAATAAAACGGAAATATTAAGTAACAAGTGTGAGAGTTATACCAGATAATTAAAGATATTGCTATCTCTGTCTTTCCATCACACCTTGCAAATAGTCCAACACACACAACTTCCAGTTTCCCCGAAAAAATCAACAATTTCCAATATATAGTATGTGTTTGAATGACTAAAATGAAAGAAATCAAAAAAAAAAAAAAAAACTACGCAAAGCAGCTGATGTTTACACACCCAAACAAATACACATACCTTACCTACCCCCTTCTCCTCTCCTTAACCAAACAATTGCATTTTTTTTGTATTGAAAAATCTTGCAGAAAAGAAAATATTTGGTTTGTTATTTTTGTTGCCTTTAAGAAATGAGAACGACCGCCGAATGCTATGGTTGTGTGTTATCGTATTGTATTTCTATAAATGGCGCGCCTTGTATTTTGGATTTTTTTCTTTTAATTCTTTAAAATCCCCAGATCTATCTTTGAAATTTTACATACACAGGTCGTTGGACAAAAGAAAATAAAAACAAATTGAAACAAAAGATAGGTATTAGTCAAATGCATTCAAACATATAAAATATGTCAACATGTGTGTCTGTCAGTCAGCTGTTTGTTTTGTTTTTTAAATAGGCCTACGTGATCTTTGTCAAGAACTGACTATTAGACCAAACAAAGAAATGCTAGAAAATATCTAATACCACAGTATGCATAATGCCTAAAACACACATTGCACAGTGGGAATAAAGTCTTCTTTCTCGACATTAAAGGCGCATTCAACAATATGCAACCCCAGCCTATTACATCGGTATTAGCTAGCCAACTATAGCTTTTATGCAGACTTCTGACCAGTCGGCACCAGAGATACAAGCCGAGACGGC